CGACCGTTTGGGGCAGGTTCTGCGGGTACTCGACACTGGATTTTACTTGTACTGAACAGGTTAACGTTTACTATTCAAGGAGTCAAGCATTTTACCGGACCTAAGGCCATGGCGACGTTTCGCATTGAAAACATGCTTAGTGTGTGGCATGAAAGGTCGTCGTGAGACAAGGCGAAATCGTCGAGTCTGTGTACTTCATCAGGCCATGGGCCTGTCTGCCCTGACGGGTTCTCGGATTCAGCTGGGCGACTAGCCGCGAAATTTCGTGAGGTACGGGAGCTTCCAGATGATGCAGGACAATGCCTGCCTGAGCAACGTCTTGGGGCCGGGAACCCGGGAACCTCGATTCTGCCGATCTCTGCGATGTTCGAGGCGTATCTGCCATGCTTCTGATTGAAGGCCCGGGGACTCCTTCGGGGAGCTGGCGCTGCTCTACAGCATCCCTTCCTCTGTCGGGCACCTAGAGGAGAGAGCGAGAGCAGAAAACGTTCCAGCGTCCTTTTCGCGCCAAGACCACCATCGTTGCCACAGAGAATGGTGAACTCTGGAAGATGGACTGGCCCCAACGTTTTTCGGTCTGGGTCGGGGGCTGCTAAGCCAGAGCGGATTCGAAAGGCATCGCTGCCAGATTCCACGTGCAATGGGAGGAGCGTCAGAGGTTCCTGGAGTGCAAGGAGCAGCTGAGCTCTTCTCAAATAGAGAAGGCCGGGAGCCCGGGTCGCAATCTCGCGCTTGAAGTGCATCTGCTCGAGGCGATGGAGTTTTTCCAGGCCTGCCAGGACTTCCGGTATCTGAAGGAGGACACCCGAAGTGGGGTCTCAGGTTCTTCGGCCTGGTGATAGGCAGTGGGAGACCTGTTCACATTCACATCGACAGGACGACCAGAAGTCCCTGGCGGCAGTCTGTACCTCGAAAACTTTCGAGGCCTGCGTAATCAACACAGGGGTGCTCGAGACAGTTTGCTCAATCTACTCGCTTACTAGCAGGAGAAACTGCGGCAGGTCACAGAATTAGCACCACCGTGCGAACAGCCGGAAGCCAAAAAGGTCGCTTGCAGTTTCCCAGGATGGCTCCATCGTCTTGCAAGATGAGGAGGTAGGCGAATGCATGCCTGTAGCCAAGTTTGATGGATCCCCGTTCCATGCCGCCCTTTTGAAAGCGAAGCGCGGACGAAGGCTGATCGTCATCAGTGGCCAAGTGGCTCCTGCTGAATCGACCGCTGATGCATTTGACAGGCAGGTGAGAGCGGTTTCTAGAATTCTAGAGCCAGTCTCAGATACAGACCTTGTGCATCCTTCGAGCCTGTGCTTTGCAGACATGCCCCAAGAATTTTGTGGACGGAGCGGGATAAGAAACTCTTTGTGATAAGACGTGTTTGGTGCAGGGTGTCGTACGGCAAGCCCGGATCTGTCATTGGAAGCGTGGGGGTCCTTTACAACAAGCAGCAGGTGGGGCTTGTGCTGAAACGGCAAATGTGGGTTCGTGCCGTCTCGAGTCTTTCGCTTTACAAAGGGCGACCACAGGGTGCCTGAGGTCTGATGGTCTAAGCTAGCTGCCACCGTTGAACAGCTTCGCGTTGCTCCTGACAGTATAATACCCGTCGGAATCAATGATTGCTCCAGGCGAAATCATTCGCGAAGGGACCGCCAGTAGTGAGATCTGATGCTGTCGTAGCACGACGATTAATGTTGGGTAGTCTTCGCGACAGTGGTCATGGAAGCAGTAAGTCGACCTGGTCCTCACTGTTGCAGGCAGCACTAAGTGGCTTCAGCCCTTCAGTGCTAGATGTGCTGCGACGAGCGGCGTTCAAGGCCCCCCATGCAAGCCAAGTCGTCCACGTGTTGCAAATGAGCGAAAGGCGTTATTATGGCCTTTTGTGTCAGTACTACAGGAGGACAATGTCGTTTTTCATGGGGAGCCGATACCTAATCCCAAAACCGATACATTCAATGGGTGCAATATGTCTATGCTTTTTCGCTCCTTTTTGGTTTTCACTGATTGTGTGTTCTAGATGATACCCAAACCGATACCAAACCGATACCACTTTGACTGGGGTGTGCGGCCAAATGGACCCACTGCCCTTTCAGTACCCAGCCGTACTGAAGCCAACAGAACATGTGCCACCAGTCGTCGCATAACAGTTTCTGTACTTTGCCATACTAAAGAACTTGGAATTGTCAAAGCCATGTCACAGTCAGAGCGGCTCAGCAACCTTCCCGCCTTACTCTAAATCTGCAACCCCTTACATCATGGAGACCCTTATAAGTAAAGAAGCCAATTTTGTGGAGAACCGATACCTAATCCCAAAACCGATACCCCTCTACCAATGTCCGCTTTCGGTCCTTTGAATATCGCCCCACGCTCAAATGTTTTTGTCGCAGTGAAGAGCCACCAGGCAATTCTCCACAGTCTCCCGCGAAACCCGTTGGATCCGGAGCCGTGGCGCATTCTCTCCGAGCAGCAAGTGTCCTCGCCCCAGAGTGCAGAAGGATGCCGCCGTGCAGACGTTGTACACAGGGTCGGGTCATTCGTTGCTGCTTTCCGAGTCATCTTGACAGCCAAGAGTCGAAGAGCTTCTTGCTATCGATCTGTCAGGATCCAAATTCGCGCAAGCTTCCTGTCCTGAACCGTCAGACCGAAATATCAGGGATCCCGAATCACGTCGCTCGAAAAGTCGAACCAAACTCCCAAGTGCGTTACAAATCATGTCAAACTGTGTAGGCGCTCGCGATAAAACTTCCCAAGATGCAGTCTCCCGCAAGCGTAAATTGATGCCCGGATTCTGGAACCTTCAGACCTACAATGTACACATAATGTGCACCAAAGCCTCAAATAAGTTCTCAAACCAGAAGAGACCAGACGCCCACCGCCCAGGAACCTCCTCATCTCTCGAACCGAGGCCGATCCGGGGGTCACCGCTTTGGACACGCCAAATCGAGTTTATGGGACGGTTCGATAGTGTGTCGTCGGAAAACAAATAACTAGTACGTATATACGGAAACACTAGTTCTTGTTGCGGTCGGCATGTAGTTCTGCTGTCAATGCCCATGTGCAGCTCGTGCAACCACGCACTTGTGAAGATTTCGTCATTCCGCCATTTGGTTTCTTGATTTTTGTTGAGGACGGCACCTTTGAGCCCGGCGAGATCATCTTCGCGCCCCAGGACGGAGCGCAGTTGATTGTCGTGATCTCCGGGCAGGCGGGTTATCTTCGCACCAAGCATAGCAGTGACAGCAGCTGGTGCGCCGGGTGCTGGCACGGAGGTTGCGATCATGAAGGGCCTGGCGAAGACGCGTGAGGAGGACGAGCTGGCAGGATTCTTGGAATGAGCGAGCAAGCACGATGATACGTAAAGTTGCAGTCCAATGCCAAATTCAGCTCAAAGCCGTGGTTGTCTCTCTGGCTGGCGAGATGCGAACCTGCGCACGGAAAGCTGCAGAGGTCTTTGCTGCCGAGGATGTTGACATCCTGCAGCAGTCCGACAAGGCAGTGACAGCGGAAGAACATTGGACAGGGCAGGGTGTTACGTGAATTGGGACTCTGTCTGCCCTGCCAACTCCGCGTCCTCTCGCAGAAAGTGAGGAAGTATCCGACAGCCCTTGAGACATGCTTGGGGGAGCTTGTCAGGCTAGAGAACCAACCATCGAGCACTGCACTGCTTCCTTTGTGCCAAAAGGTAATCGAAGCTGGCCATTGCTACGGGAACAGCCGGAGCGATCCTGCACTGGGGGAAACGGTGAGCCGTAGTGGCAAAGTAGCTGGCAGATGAGGTTTGTTGACATATGTGGCTGCTTGCACTAACTCGCCAGTTGTCTCCCCGTACATCTGCATGCCTGCAGGAAGAAACGGCTGGCGTTGAAGTTCCGTTAAGTTCAGACTTTCAGTCTTCTGAGAGGGATGGATGAGATGGGGAGTTCGGGCTTGGTGAACGATTCGGTGTGCCAAGCAGTTGGCACTGCCAAGCGAGCTACAGCTGACAAGTCACGGCTGCAGTGGCAATTCGGTTATCTGCGGCCGTGGACCCGATTAGATGGCATCCTTGTCTCATGCAGTCCGGATGGTACTTCTTTCTGTTCCCTGACAGGCTGCTGTTTTCCACAGTTCTACTCTGCTGGAACATCCGCAGGCTCCCACCGAATTGAAGTGTCGATAGAGCAGTCAGGATTCGCGACAGCATCGCTGTGGACTCGCTTGTCTGCTGTTTCGCTGACTTCATCGGAGACCCCCGCTTTCGCAGCTGCACAGAGCGATGCCACCGTGCAGGGTGCTTCCGGACTCGGAAGGGGGCAACAATACGCGGCTGTCCTTCCAAGAATGGCTGGAAGTGAACTCCAGAATTGAGGCCAGGAGCAGGCTTACCCTTTCTTATGCGGGGCTACTGTGCCCCTGCATGCCTTTGATCCCGCTTTAGGCTTGACGTAGCTGCGGCTTTGCAGTACTTTGAGTGGCCAATAGATGCCGCGACTTGCACAAGCAGGTAAATGTTCGCCAGTTGTCACAAGAAATGCCTTGCAGTGCGGTGCAGCAGGCAGACGGGACAACGCCTTCCGTCGCCGTTCAGAAGTGCATCTACAACACCCTGCTTCAAGATGAGCAAAGGCCTTAGGCCTTAGGCCTTAGGCTAATCGATTTCAGCAAGGAACAAAAAACGAGGCTTCAGGTTCTTTCGTATCGCAGGTGCATTGAGCTGCTGCCGGATGCCTCGGTCAAGAAGACCGCAATGCCGGAGTTTCAGGAGGCCCCCAGTCTTTCGGGGAGCTGTCTCAAGTACTTGTTACCTCTATCGCCTTTCTGCACCATGATGAGCGCGAGTAGTGAGGTTTTCGTTCCCGGAGGGTTTTGAGGTACTGAGTCTCGGTGTGGGGTTTGGGTTTGTGCTGTGATCGAAGTAGTTCAGGTTTAGGGCAAGGACCTTCGGGATTGGGTCCTGGGCCCCAGGTTCGGAGAAGGTTTCAGGATGTGCCTTCATCCGTCAATCCCCCCGGTACTCCAGCTAAGCTATGTCGCACTGTGTCGAGGCTCCAGAGGACACGTCATCTGCTTTGCGCGCTGCGGGGCAGGCTGCTGGGTGGTTGGAGAGGGCCGTGAGGCTGAGTTGGACTTGAGTGCAGGTGGCGGGCGAGACGCTGAGTGCACAAGCCCAAGTCTCGTGGATTAATGTTGAAGACACCTGCCCCCTGCACTACGCAGAAACTCAGAACCTGCAGGGTTGGGCATCGATACCCCCCGGCGGGCTGGAGCGCTTCGACGTTCCGATGCCTCACGGCCATCAAGGCTCCGGGAGATTCCGGGAGGGTTGCAGGAGGAAGTCACCCTGCATCATCCTGCATCTCGCAGTGGGGATGTCGAGGCGGCTTGTCCGGTGCGAAGCTCTCGCACTGCGTCCTCAGCGAGACCTCGAGCAGCTTTCTTGACCGTCGGCGTCTCGCGAAGCGACCAGAGCGAGAGGTCGACAGCTTCAGCCGCACCAAGGCGGTCACAAGAACGGCATCAACTTGCTGCAGCCAGAGGTGACTGCATCTTCCGGTGAGGCCGGAGATGTAGTCAGAGAGTGTCAGCCGCAACTGAACTCACTGCGTGATCCTTGCGCGTGCTTTGGATCTTTTCGTGGAAGCTGTGAAATGATTGAGGCCGTGTGGATGTCTTTGAAGTATGCTTTCTGGCTATTCTTCTCAACATCCCCGGATGATCCTGCGCCGTACGTCTTCATCCGCTTGCAGGACAGTGCCTTCACAGGACTGTGCAAACGTGCGTCTGAGTGGGTGACTTTGCGAAGGACACGGTTCTGCGCGAAACCAATCTGCGTGACAAGAGCCTGGTCCTGGCTGGCAGGAGCGGGTGTGTTCTTGCAGACAAGGTTACGACAATGGCAGGAATGCTTCAGTTTTAATTAAGCAGCATACTTGTAGAATGGAATAGAATATGGAAAGGCTTTCGTGCCGTAAGACGAAGATTGAGATGTTGACTGGAAGCATCAGGTTTGACCGACGGGTCACGTAACAAACGCAGGCTATGGTCCACATGTAGACAAGAAGGTGGCTGCACTTGCTCGGTCGTTTGTGCGAATATGACGCATTGGTCTGCTGCAAATGAACTTGCAGCCATCGATTCTCATTTGTTTGCAGCCCTTCCCTTGATGGCTGTCGTCACGTGCCTTCATCCTGACGACTGAAGTTGCAGGATGAAGAAGTCTGCTGATGACGATGTGGCAGGTGTTGCATGCATTGCATTTACAGGGTCTTCGGAGCCGACCTGATTCTTTTCCCGCCTGCACCTGCAGCTTTTCAGGTCCTTTCGGGGATTCTGCTCGTGAGCCCTTGCGGCAACTCAGCAGAAGCTGGTTCCTTGCCATCGACTGCGAGCGCTTTTCCTCGACTATCGAGGCTCTGCTTCCTTTTGGCAGACGGCCGATTTCAGCTCTTCGAAGCGTGCAGCCTCAGTGGCTCGTGATGCAGCTGAAAGCATTTTCAAGCGTTCATGTGAGACGTGAGGCACTGTGGCTGGAACTGCAGCTGACCTCTGAAGAGGACTTCACAGCGTTTCATGTTTCTTTCCTGTTCTTTCTATCCGTTTTCCGGCCCCTACAGTAGCAGGAGATGCAGATGTGGGCGCGTGCGATCTCCAATGCATGCATAGCAGAGCCGGGGCCCCTGAGCCCCAGCACGCTACATCTTAGCCTCACGCGCAGCCTCATCTATCCGCCAAAACACAGCTCCAGGTGAACTGTCGGGCTTCTGCTGGTGCCTGTTTGGCTCTCAAGCGTGACGTCAGCAGACGGAGAGGGAGCTTTTGCCGTGGCACAAGGCCAGACCTGCCTCAATTTCTCTGAGTCTCAGAGTTCAAAAGACGCCGAGCCCTCAGTCTCATGCCGATTCTCAAAGCTTGCGCCCCCACCGCCGAGGACCTGAGAACACAGCCTGTTGAATCAAGAGTAGTTCGGTTTCACTGGGGACCCACTTCGAGACCTTTGTTGAGACTTCACTGCATTTTCTCAAGCATGGGGACATCTTAAAGTGCAGCCTTTGTCATTGAGTGTGTGAGCTTTCCGCAGTGAGACACCCGCGTGCCCGAAGGGCACACTGGAATGCCAGAAAAACCTGGCAACATCGATCATGCCTGCAGATTTAAGGAAAAGCAAAGTTTGCAATCGGGGACACACCTTCAGAAGCCGATCAGATAAGGGGCGTACGATGCAGTCCGTTGGCCCCTGGATTGGCAGCAGGTAGCTTCTCCTTAGCTTCTGTTCTCCTTCGCTTCTCCTGTCGTCATGGCACTGGCAAGGGCAGCACTCGCGGCACTGATGGTCATGCTCGTCTCAGTACTCCATGGCTGCGGGTGCGACACGAGCGCGGTCACTTCCTGCACCGCTGGAAGCGGCTGCGATGCGCTCACCACCTATATGACATGCGTCAAGGATGCCGGTTGTTGCGACTATGAGCAGGGCGGCGCGAAGATCTCGGATGGCTTTGCAGCCCTTGAAACTGCTGCCAATGCAATTGCGCAACTCAGCGGAAGCACCTGCTCTGTGACCAATCCTTGCTGAGGGCCAGTCGCCGGCCAAGTCCTTTTGGGGTGTCAATGTGCATTCCAGCTTGGTCGGACTGCTCGTGCTTGCCTGTGGGCCGTTCCATTTTGAACGAACCGATATGTTAAAGTCGAATGGTTGTCTAATGTTGATACGAAGCCCACCAGTGGCAGCACAGCATTGGGGTAAGGGGGGAAGAGCGAACAGCGCGTTTGAACGCATCGCAAAATGTTCGGGATGGCACAAGGTGAAGAGGGTCAAAGCCAGCAGTTTGAGACAGTTTCAGATGGAATCGACTACTGAATGAGCAGAAATCCGTTGCGGCAGTCTATTTCACGATTTCACGTCCGTGCAAGTGACCAGGTTCGTCGAGGCACGCGGCAGCCTTGAAGCTATTTGTTTCCGATGCAGTCCGTTGGCCCCTGGATTGGCAGCAGGTAGCTTCTCCTTAGCTTCTGTTCTCCTTCGCTTCTCCTGTCGTCATGGCACTGGCAAGGGCAGCACTCGCGGCACTGATGGTCATGCTCGTCTCAGTACTCCATGGCTGCGGGTGCGACACGAGCGCGGTCACTTCCTGCACCGCTGGAAGCGGCTGCGATGCGCTCACCACCTATATGACATGCGTCAAGGATGCCGGTTGTTGCGACTATGAGCAGGGCGGCGCGAAGATCTCGGATGGCTTTGCAGCCCTTGAAACTGCTGCCAATGCAATTGCGCAACTCAGCGGAAGCACCTGCTCTGTGACCAATCCTTGCTGAGGGCCAGTCGCCGGCCAAGTCCTTTTGGGGTGTCAATGTGCATTCCAGCTTGGTCGGACTGCTCGTGCTTGCCTGTGGGCCGTTCCATTTTGAACGAACCGATATGTTAAAGTCGAATGGTTGTCTAATGTTGATACGAAGCCCACCAGTGGCAGCACAGCATTGGGGTAAGGGGGGAAGAGCGAACAGCGCGTTTGAACGCATCGCAAAATGTTCGGGATGGCACAAGGTGAAGAGGGTCAAAGCCAGCAGTTTGAGACAGTTTCAGATGGAATCGACTACTGAATGAGCAGAAATCCGTTGCGGCAGTCTATTTCACGATTTCACGTCCGTGCAAGTGACCAGGTTCGTCGAGGCACGCGGCAGCCTTGAAGCTATTTGTTTCCGATGCAGTCCGTTGGCCCCTGGATTGGCAGCAGGTAGCTTCTCCTTAGCTTCTGTTCTCCTTCGCTTCTCCTGTCGTCATGGCACTGGCAAGGGCAGCACTCGCGGCACTGATGGTCATGCTCGTCTCAGTACTCCATGGCTGCGGGTGCGACACGAGCGCGGTCACTTCCTGCACCGCTGGAAGCGGCTGCGATGCGCTCACCACCTATATGACATGCGTCAAGGATGCCGGTTGTTGCGACTATGAGCAGGGCGGCGCGAAGATCTCGGATGGCTTTGCAGCCCTTGAAACTGCTGCCAATGCAATTGCGCAACTCAGCGGAAGCACCTGCTCTGTGACCAATCCTTGCTGAGGGCCAGTCGCCGGCCAAGTCCTTTTGGGGTGTCAATGTGCATTCCAGCTTGGTCGGACTGCTCGTGCTTGCCTGTGGGCCGTTCCATTTTGAACGAACCGACATGTTAAAGTCGAATGGTTGTCTAATGTTGATACGAAGCCCACCAGTGCCAGCACAGCATTGGGGTAAGGGGGGAAGAGCGAACAGCGCGTTTGAACGCATCGCAAAATGTTCGGGATGGCACAAGGTGAAGAGGGTCAAAGCCAGCAGTTTGAGACAGTTTCAGATGGAATCGACTACTGAATGAGCAGAAATCCGTTGCGGCAGTCTATTTCACGATTTCACGTCCGTGCAAGTGACCAGGTTCGTCGAGGCACGCGGCAGCCTTGAAACTATTTGTTTCCGATGCAGTCCGTTGGCCCCTGGATTGGCAGCAGGTAGCTTCTCCTTAGCTTCTGTTCTCCTTCGCTTCTCCTGTCGTCATGGCACTGGCAAGGGCAGCACTCGCGGCACTGATGGTCATGCTCGTCTCAGTACTCCATGGCTGCGGGTGCGACACGAGCGCGGTCACTTCCTGCACCGCTGGAAGCGGCTGCGATGCGCTCACCACCTATATGACATGCGTCAAGGATGCCGGTTGTTGCGACTATGAGCAGGGCGGCGCGAAGATCTCGGATGGCTTTGCAGCCCTTGAAACTGCTGCCAATGCAATTGCGCAACTCAGCGGAAGCACCTGCTCTGTGACCAATCCTTGCTGAGGGCCAGTCGCCGGCCAAGTCCTTTTGGGGTGTCAATGTGCATTCCAGCTTGGTCGGACTGCTCGTGCTTGCCTGTGGGCCGTTCCATTTTGAACGAACCGATATGTTAAAGTCGAATGGTTGTCTAATGTTGATACGAAGCCCACCAGTGCCAGCACAGCATTGGGGTAAGGGGGGAAGAGCGAACAGCGCGTTTGAACGCATCGCAAAATGTTCGGGATGGCACAAGGTGAAGAGGGTCAAAGCCAGCAGTTTGAGACAGTTTCAGATGGAATCGACTACTGAATGAGCAGAAATCCGTTGCGGCAGTCTATTTCACGATTTCACGTCCGTGCAAGTGACCAGGTTCGTCGAGGCACGCGGCAGCCTTGAAACTATTTGTTTCCGATGCAGTCCGTTGGCCCCTGGATTGGCAGCAGGTAGCTTCTCCTTAGCTTCTGTTCTCCTTCGCTTCTCCTGTCGTCATGGCACTGGCAAGGGCAGCACTCGCGGCACTGATGGTCATGCTCGTCTCAGTACTCCATGGCTGCGGGTGCGACACGAGCGCGGTCACTTCCTGCACCGCTGGAAGCGGCTGCGATGCGCTCACCACCTATATGACATGCGTCAAGGATGCCGGTTGTTGCGACTATGAGCAGGGCGGCGCGAAGATCTCGGATGGCTTTGCAGCCCTTGAAACTGCTGCCAATGCAATTGCGCAACTCAGCGGAAGCACCTGCTCTGTGACCAATCCTTGCTGAGGGCCAGTCGCCGGCCAAGTCCTTTTGGGGTGTCAATGTGCATTCCAGCTTGGTCGGACTGCTCGTGCTTGCCTGTGGGCCGTTCCATTTTGAACGAACCGATATGTTAAAGTCGAATGGTTGTCTAATGTTGATACGAAGCCCACCAGTGCCAGCACAGCATTGGGGTAAGGGGGGAAGAGCGAACAGCGCGTTTGAACGCATCGCAAAATGTTCGGGATGGCACAAGGTGAAGAGGGTCAAAGCCAGCAGTTTGAGACAGTTTCAGATGGAATCGACTACTGAATGAGCAGAAATCCGTTGCGGCAGTCTATTTCACGATTTCACGTCCGTGCAAGTGACCAGGTTCGTCGAGGCACGCGGCAGCCTTGAAGCTATTTGTTTCCGATGCAGTCCGTTGGCCCCTGGATTGGCAGCAGGTAGCTTCTCCTTAGCTTCTGTTCTCCTTCGCTTCTCCTGTCGTCATGGCACTGGCAAGGGCAGCACTCGCGGCACTGATGGTCATGCTCGTCTCAGTACTCCATGGCTGCGGGTGCGACACGAGCGCGGTCACTTCCTGCACCGCTGGAAGCGGCTGCGATGCGCTCACCACCTATATGACATGCGTCAAGGATGCCGGTTGTTGCGACTATGAGCAGGGCGGCGCGAAGATCTCGGATGGCTTTGCAGCCCTTGAAACTGCTGCCAATGCAATTGCGCAACTCAGCGGAAGCACCTGCTCTGTGACCAATCCTTGCTGAGGGCCAGTCGCCGGCCAAGTCCTTTTGGGGTGTCAATGTGCATTCCAGCTTGGTCGGACTGCTCGTGCTTGCCTGTGGGCCGTTCCATTTTGAACGAACCGATATGTTAAAGTCGAATGGTTGTCTAATGTTGATACGAAGCCCACAGTGGCAGCACAGCATTGGGGTAAGGGGGGAAGAGCGAACAGCGCGTTTGAACGCATCGCAAAATGTTCGGGATGGCACAAGGTGAAGAGGGTCAAAGCCAGCAGTTTGAGACAGTTTCAGATGGAATCGACTACTGAATGAGCAGAAATCCGTTGCGGCAGTCTATTTCACGATTTCACGTCCGTGCAAGTGACCAGGTTCGTCGAGGCACGCGGCAGCCTTGAAACTATTTGTTTCCGATGCAGTCCGTTGGCCCCTGGATTGGCAGCAGGTAGCTTCTCCTTAGCTTCTGTTCTCCTTCGCTTCTCCTGTCGTCATGGCACTGGCAAGGGCAGCACTCGCGGCACTGATGGTCATGCTCGTCTCAGTACTCCATGGCTGCGGGTGCGACACGAGCGCGGTCACTTCCTGCACCGCTGGAAGCGGCTGCGATGCGCTCACCACCTATATGACATGCGTCAAGGATGCCGGTTGTTGCGACTATGAGCAGGGCGGCGCGAAGATCTCGGATGGCTTTGCAGCCCTTGAAACTGCTGCCAATGCAATTGCGCAACTCAGCGGAAGCACCTGCTCTGTGACCAATCCTTGCTGAGGGCCAGTCGCCGGCCAAGTCCTTTTGGGGTGTCAATGTGCATTCCAGCTTGGTCGGACTGCTCGTGCTTGCCTGTGGGCCGTTCCATTTTGAACGAACCGATATGTTAAAGTCGAATGGTTGTCTAATGTTGATACGAAGCCCACCAGTGGCAGCACAGCATTGGGGTAAGGGGGGAAGAGCGAACAGCGCGTTTGAACACATCACAAAATGTTCGGGATGGCACAAGGTGAAGAGGGTCAAAGCCAGCAGTTTGAGACAGTTTTAGATGGAATCGACTACTGAATGAGCAGAAATCCGTTGCGGCAGTCTATTTCACGATTTCACGTCCGTGCAAGTGACCAGGTTCGTCGAGGCACGCGGCAGCCTTGAAGCTATTTGTTTCCGATGCAGTCCGTTGGCCCCTGGATTGGCAGCAGGTAGCTTCTCCTTAGCTTCTGTTCTCCTTCGCTTCTCCTGTCGTCATGGCACTGGCAAGGGCAGCACTCGCGGCACTGATGGTCATGCTCGTCTCAGTACTCCATGGCTGCGGGTGCGACACGAGCGCGGTCACTTCCTGCACCGCTGGAAGCGGCTGCGATGCGCTCACCACCTATATGACATGCGTCAAGGATGCCGGTTGTTGCGACTATGAGCAGGGCGGCGCGAAGATCTCGGATGGCTTTGCAGCCCTTGAAACTGCTGCCAATGCAATTGCGCAACTCAGCGGAAGCACCTGCTCTGTGACCAATCCTTGCTGAGGGCCAGTCGCCGGCCAAGTCCTTTTGGGGTGTCAATGTGCATTCCAGCTTGGTCGGACTGCTCGTGCTTGCCTGTGGGCCGTTCCATTTTGAACGAACCGATATGTTAAAGTCGAATGGTTGTCTAATGTTGATACGAAGCCCACCAGTGCCAGCACAGCATTGGGGTAAGGGGGGAAGAGCGAACAGCGCGTTTGAACGCATCGCAAAATGTTCGGGATGGCACAAGGTGAAGAGGGTCAAAGCCAGCAGTTTGAGACAGTTTCAGATGGAATCGACTACTGAATGAGCAGAAATCCGTTGCGGCAGTCTATTTCACGATTTCACGTCCGTGCAAGTGACCAGGTTCGTCGAGGCACGCGGCAGCCTTGAAGCTATTTGTTTCCGATGCAGTCCGTTGGCCCCTGGATTGGCAGCAGGTAGCTTCTCCTTAGCTTCTGTTCTCCTTCGCTTCTCCTGTCGTCATGGCACTGGCAAGGACAGCACTCGCGGCACTGATGGTCATGCTCGTCTCAGTACTCCATGGCTGCGGGTGCGACACGAGCGCGGTCACTTCCTGCACCGCTGGAAGCGGCTGCGATGCGCTCACCACCTATATGACATGCGTCAAGGATGCCGGTTGTTGCGACTATGAGCAGGGCGGCGCGAAGATCTCGGATGGCTTTGCAGCCCTTGAAACTGCTGCCAATGCAATTGCGCAACTCAGCGGAAGCACCTGCTCTGTGACCAATCCTTGCTGAGGGCCAGTCGCCGGCCAAGTCCTTTTGGGGTGTCAATGTGCATTCCAGCTTGGTCGGACTGCTCGTGCTTGCCTGTGGGCCGTTCCATTTTGAACGAACCGATATGTTAAAGTCGAATGGTTGTCTAATGTTGATACGAAGCCCACCATTGGCAGCACAGCATTGGGGTAAGGGGGGAAGAGCGAACAGCGCGTTTGAACGCATCGCAAAATGTTCGGGATGGCGCAAGGTCAGGACGTCGCTTCGGAGTCTTGAGGTTCATGAGCATGCTAGCCGTGGCTACAAGTTGACTGTTTCTGCCGATCCCAAAGCTGACATTTGTGTAGCAGTGCATGCAAATGCGTGCAGAGAGTGTGGGCACATCGGGAAGCAGAGCAACGCAGAGACTCGGCATCTGCAGTTTGGATTCGATGGATGCAGGCCTTAGACCGTGCCCCTGTTTTCCCAATTTTCCCCATCAATTTCACCCGCTAACGCTAAGGATAAGGCACAGGGCATGCAGACGAATCGTAGCCGGAGCTCACAGCAAGCCTCGATGAACATACATCCCAACCCCAAAGCCAAACAACCTTGCAAAGCTGTACAAAGCTGCTTGGCTACCAGAATGGGCAATGGTGCCGCAAGCGCCGCCAAAGCCAAGGCTGCTCCCATTTTGTCATGCTGATGTAGTCCGAAGCGCTTGAACATCGTCTGCGGAACTCCAGGCCCTGGCTGGTGCTTCCTCGGACCCCTCCAAAGGAGTGTCCTCGGCGTCCACTTCGTCCCAGGCGGAGGAGTTCGGGTTGGAGGGGCCTGGACCGAGCTCTCACGAGTCCCGCATGGCTGCGCGAGGTTGCTGCTGCAGCAGATCATTCAGTCGAGGCCCGTGTCGCCCTTCTGTCAGGCAGTATTCGATGCAAATCATGAGGGCCGAAAGAGTAAGCCCTGCCACGCGAAGTTCATGTCGTGCACACTTAGTTTTATGTTGGATAGGTTGGCCACATCGGCAATGTGGTCCGAGGCTCAGCCTTCGAAGCACTTTACTGGTAGGACAACGTGCCAAAACAGTCATGTCCCGCAGCCATGCGGCCAAAAATCAACGTGTGACCCCTAAAATCCGTAATTGCTTCAAACTCGGGTCCTCAAATAAAAGACCTTGAAAGGAGCCCTGGTTCGAGTTTAGGAACTAAGTTCAAGCGGTTCCCCTGCGGCCGAGGCCACATTCCCCAGCGAAGCCTCCGGGACGTCGGCACGGGGCTGAGTCTCACGATGGAGAGTTGAACCGGTCGCGGAAAGACAGAAGCATTGCCTCCGAATTGCGCAGCACATTCACCTCAGGTGGATGGTCCAGCGACTATGCGCCGCCGTGAGAAGCGGTCCCGGATCAGTGCCGTGCCAGAGCAGGCGGATGCAGTGGCCAGACATGGGCCTGGGAGGGTTGGAGCCTGGCTTTAGAGCGCGAGTGGATGTCGTTTCTTTTCAAAGTTTGGAGGCGGGACAGTCGACGGAGCTCAGCGCAGCCCTCAAAACACCGGTGCTGGGAAGGACTGGGCTTTGGAGCCTTCGGGGAATCGGGGGCAACTTCCTTTCAAGATTCGTGATTGCTTATGTGCACTTCGTTCGTGGCTCGAGCTTTGCACAGGCGGGCGAGCCAGACTGTCAAGCCTGGCGCTGAGCTTCCGATGGAGTGCTTCGATTCCGCAGAAAGCCGTCCGAGCTCGCTGAGCGTCGCTCCGACCTTGCAGGCCCGAGATGTTGGACCCCCAGCTCGAGGAGTTCCTCACGAAGGCAGGGTCGCAGAAGTGCGCATGGGGATGGGCCATGCTGACTCTTGGAGCGTCGGAGGCTTTCCAGAAGCACTTCCTCTTGAAGTCAGTGCCGGAGGTCGAGTGTAAGGCTTTGGGGGTGGCGGGGGGCGCTGGGTGCTGGGATGTGCTGGGTAGTTTACATTAGCCCCTTTGTCCGCGAGAAGCAATAGCTGATGGCAGGCCTTGAGTCTCTCGATGAAGGTGAAGCATGCCGTCCCTGAGGAGGCAGCCCCTTTCCCATGCACTAACAGACACCGCGACCGTTTGGGGCAGGTTCTGCGGGTACTCGACACTGGATTTTACTTGTACTGAACAGGTTAACGTTTACTATTCAAGGAGTCAAGCATTTTACCGGACCTAAGGCCATGGCGACGTTTCGCATTGAAAACATGCTTAGTGTGTGGCATGAAAGGTCGTCGTGAGACAAGGCGAAATCGTCGAGTCTGTGTACTTCATCAGGCCATGGGCCTGTCTGCCCGGACGGGTTCTCGGATTCAGCTGGGCGACTAGCCGCGAAATTTCGTGAGGTACGGGAGCTTCCAGATGATGCAGGACAATGCCTGCCTGAGCAACGTCTTGGGGCCGGGAACCCGGGAACCTCGATTCTGCCGATCTCTGCGATGTTCGAGGCGTATCTGCCATGCTTCTGATTGAAGGCCCGGGGACTCCTTCGGGGAGCTGGCGCTGCTCTACAGCATCCCTTCCTCTGTCGGGCACCTAGAGGAGAGAGCGAGAGCAGAAAACGTTCCAGCGTCCTTTTCGCGCCAAGACCACCATCGTTGCCACAGAGAATGGTGAACTCTGGAAGATGGACTGGCCCCAACGTTTTTCGGTCTGGGTCGGGGGCTGCTAAGCCAGAGCGGATTCGAAAGGCATCGCTGCCAGATTCCACGTGCAATGGGAGGAGCGTCAGAGGTTCCTGGAGTGCAAGGAGCAGCTGAGCTCTTCTCAAATAGAGAAGGCCGGGAGCCCGGGTCGCAATCTCGCGCTTGAAGTGCATCTGCTCGAGGCGATGGAGTTTTTCCAGGCCTGCCAGGACTTCCGGTATCTGAAGGAGGACACCCGAAGTGGGGTCTCAGGTTCTTCGGCCTGGTGATAGGCAGTGGGAGACCTGTTCACATTCACATCGACAGGACGACCAGAAGTCCCTGGCGGCAGTCTGTACCTCGAAAACTTTCGAGGCCTGCGTAATCAACACAGGGGTGCTCGAGACAGTTTGCTCAATCTACTCGCTTACTAGCAGGAGAAACTGCGGCAGGTCACAGAATTAGCACCACCGTGCGAACAGCCGGAAGCCAAAAAGGTCGCTTGCAGTTTCCCAGGATGGCTCCATCGTCTTGCAAGATGAGGAGGTAGGCGAATGCATGCCTGTAGCCAAGTTTGATGGATCCCCGTTCCATGCCGCCCTTTTGAAAGCGAAGCGCGGACGAAGGCTGATCGTCATCAGTGGCCAAGTGGCTCCTGCTGAATCGACCGCTGATGCATTTGACAGGCAGGTGAGAGCGGTTTCTAGAATTCTAGAGCCAGTCTCAGATACAGACCTTGTGCATCCTTCGAGCCTGTGCTTTGCAGACATGCCCCAAGAATTTTGTGGACGGAGCGGGAGAAGAAACTCTTTGTGATAAGACGTGTTTGGTGCAGGGTGTCGTACGGCAAGCCCGGATCTGTCATTGGAAGCGTGGGGGTCCTTTACAACAAGCAGCAGGTGGGGCTTGTGCTGAAACGGCAAATGTGGGTTCGTGCCGTCTCGAGTCTTTCGCTTTACAAAGGGCGACCACAGGGTGCCTGAGGTCTGATGGTCTAAGCTAGCTGCCACCGTTGAACAGCTTCGCGTTGCTCCTGACAGTATACCCGTCGGAATCAAAGATTGCTCCAGGCGAAATCATTCGCGAAGGGACCTGTGGAATGTCTCTGCTTGAACAAGGCCAGTAGTGAGATCTGATGCTGTCGTAGCACGACGATTAATGTTGGGTAGTCTTCGCGACAGTGGTCATGGAAGCAGTAAGTCGACCTGGTCCTCACTGTTGCAGGCAGCACTAAGTGGCTTCAGCCCTTCAGTGCTAGATGTGCTGCGACGAGCGGCGTTCAAGGCCCCCCATGCAAGCCAAGTCGTCCACGTGTTGCAAATGTTTTTGTCGCAGTGAAGAGCCACCAGGCAATTCTCCACAGTCTCCCGCGAAACCCGTTGGATCCGGAGCCGTGGCGCATTCTCTCCGAGCAGCAAGTGTCCTCGCCCCAGAGTGCAGAAGGATGCCGCCGTGCAGACGTTGTACACAGGGTCGGGTCATTCGTTGCTGCTTTCCGAGTCATCTTGACAGCCAAGAGTCGAAGAGCTTCTTGCTATCGATCTGTCAGGATCCAAATTCGCGCAAGCTTCCTGTCCTGAACCGTCAGACCGAAATATCAGGGATCCCGAATCACGTCGCTCGAAAAGTCGAACCAAACTCCCAAGTGCGTTACAAATCACGTCAAACTGTGTAGGCGCTCGCGATAAAACTTCCCAAGATGCAGTCTCCCGCAAGCGTAAATTGATGCCCGGATTCTGGAACCTTCAGACCTACAATGTACACATAATGTGCACCAAAGCCTCAAATAAGTTCTCAAACCAGAAGAGACCAGACGCCCACCGCCCAGGAACCTCCTCATCTCTCGAACCGAGGCCGATCCGGGGGTCACCGCTTTGGACACGCCAAATCTTATGGGACGGTTCGATAGTGTGTCGTCGGAAAACAAATAACTAGTACGTATATACGGAAACACTAGTTCTTGTTGCGGTCGGCATGTAGTTCTGTGTGAAGATTTCGTCATTCCGCCATTTGGTTTCTTGATTTTTGTTGAGGACGGCACCTTTGAGCCCGGCGAGATCATCTTCGCGCCCCAGGACGGAGCGCAGTTGATTGTCGTGATCTCCGGGCAGGCGGGTTATCTTCGCACCAAGCATAGCAGTGACAGCAGCTGGTGCGCCGGGTGCTGGCACGGAGGTTGCGATCATGAAGGGCCTGGCGAAGACGCGTGAGGAGGACGAGCTGGCAGGATTCTTGGAATGAGCGAGCAAGCACGATGATACGTAAAGTTGCAGTCCAATGCCAAATTCAGCTCAAAGCCGTGGTTGTCTCTCTGGCTGGCGAGATGCGAACCTGCGCACGGAAAGCTGCAGAGGTCTTTGCTGCCGAGGATGTTGACATCCTGCAGCAGTCCGACAAGGCAGTGACAGCGGAAGAACATTGGACAGGGCAGGGTGTTACGTGAATTGGGACTCTGTCTGCCCTGCCAACTCCGCGTCCTCTCGCAGAAAGTGAGGAAGTATCCGACAGCCCTTGAGACATGCTTGGGGGAGCTTGTCAGGCTAGAGAACCAACCATCGAGCACTGCACTGCTTCCTTTGTGCCAAAAGGTAATCGAAGCTGGCCATTGCTACGGGAAGCAGCCGGAGCGATCCTGCACTGGGGGAAACGGTGAGCCGTAGTGGCAAAGTAGCTGGCAGATGAGGTTTGTTGACATATGTGGCTGCTTGCACTAACTCGCCAGTTGTCTCCCCGTACATCTGCATGCCTGCAGGAAGAAACGGCTGGCGTTGAAGTTCCGTTAAGTTCAGACTTTCAGTCTTCTGAGAGGGATGGATGAGATGGGGAGTTCGTGCAATTTTGTGCATATCGCAGGAGTTCTTGGAGGGCGTTTCCATGTCGACCTTTGGCATCGCCGTCGGGAAGGCATTGTTTGGACGCTCAAGAGGGGAAGCTTCGTAAGGAGCGCTCGTACCCTCCGCAAGGTGCGTCTCCACCGGATTCTCCACAGCAACGTCCAGGAGCTTTTGGGGGACTCCTTGATGGAGGCGAGTGGCTCGTAACTACGGCGCCGCTGTTTAAAGCCTGTCATGGCCGCCTCGGAAGGTCATGCGCTGTGCAGAGATCAAGCGCGTGCTTTCGGACATCTTCCTCTTCAAGAACTTGAACGAGGACATTCTGCGGGTAGAATCTTGCCGTGATGCGGATCTAACCTCACGTGGCTGGCAGGAGCAGATTGATCGCACCGTCCGAGAGCTGGAGCAGCAGATCTTCGCAGTCGGGAGCTCTGAACATGTCGGCTGTGCCGGGAAATGGCCATGACTTCACGACAAAAATTGCACGCAGGGATGTCGCTGGGACTTACAAAGAAGGTGAGATAAATCAAGGACACTGTCAGCTTTTGGACCGAGGCGGGGGAGATCATCGTCCAGCAAGACGACCCTGCGAGGCTGATCCCGAGTCCTCCGAAGCCTTGAAGCGATCGCAGCCTTTCCTCGGAGGCATTTCTATCTCATCCAACGAGGGACGGTCGTGGCCCGGAGCTTGGAGAGGTCAGAAGCATTGGACTTCCTTCGGTTGAGACTTCTGCGAAGGTGCGGAAGGACGGCAAAGTCCTGCGGACCCTGGGAAGGCCTCGGTGATCTGACAACCCAAGAGCTGATGCCTGCGGGAGAAGTGCAGGTGGGATTACTTCGGGGAGCGTGGATTGCTCCTCCAAGAGAGGCGGTCGGCCACCTGCCAGGCATCCCGATCGCGGTTGCACGTGACATGTGAGCATCCCTCAAGACTTCCGCCCCCTTGCAGTTAACTGTGTGAGTAAAAGCGATATAGGACCACCCCAAAATCGCTGCGATCAACGAAGGATCACCTGTTGTGACATTTCAGTGCTGCCGCCGCAGTTGTGCCAAACTTTTCTGCGTGATATGTGGCTAGGCAATCGACACCACCAGATCGTTTTGATTGCAACTGCCGCAGCCGATGGGAGCATTATGTTACTGTTGATCTCGCTGCTGTAGTAATGAGATCACTACATATCACTACCATTTCCGTTTCTGTACCAACATGTGTATTGTGACAAACGCTCATGTGGTTGCAATGCCAGAGCACTGGCTTGGGTTGTGCGGTCTACACCAACGCCTACTGTAGGCACTGGATGAGTGCATCTGCCTGGTCTTGGATGCCGATGTTCGCCTCTCAGCGTCAGCCCAGCAGTGGTCACTACAGCAAGCGGGCATGCCTCAAGATGCCTTAAGGTAGATCAATCAGCCAAGCACTCTCGTGGCTCTTCAGGAGTTCTTCCAGATCGTTGGCCACTTCAAAGACGAGCTCGAGCGCCGCATGCAGCTGCAGGACAACGAAGGGAGCCTCGCATATTGCCGAACTGCGAGTGGAGTGTGGTTCTGCCCTGCAGGACTTGAACTTGTCGATCTCTGATCTCCAGGCTGGTCCATTTCTGTCTGCCAAGTTTTGCCAAGTGAACTCCATATTCCTGACCTGCGTCCAGTGCACCGCCGTTGTGGGCCGGGGCACCTTTGGCGTTGTCCGCCTCGTGACGCCCAAGGGGAAGAAGGCCTTGTCGGATGCTGTTGTGGAGCAGAGGGCAGACGAGTCTTGAGTCGTGGTACTGTGCAAAATGTGCATGTTGTGTGTTGCTTGTTGCACTGTAATAATCACGATATTCAGGAGGTGCTTGCTTTCCTCTTAAGCTTGGGTTACAAGATGTTGCAAGACCCTGTGATAATCTTGTTTCCTCACTCTCTCTCTCTCTCTATCTGTCTGTCTGTCTGTCTGTCTGTCCCTCTCTCTGTCTCTCCGTCTCTCGGTCTCTCCGTCTCTCGGTGTCTCCGTCTCTCCGTCTCTCCGTCTCTCCGTCTCTGTGTCTCTCTCTCTTTCTCTCTCTCTCTCTGTGTCTCTCTCTCTCTCTCTGTCTCCTCTCTCTCTCTCTCTGTTGCATTCGCTCTTGCTGCCTGCAAAGTCGCGGGCGGCAGCGGAAGCGGCTTGCCGAATAACTCCCTACCTCCAGGAACAAATACAAACTTTACCTCGCCGCTGAAGGCTCTTCTTACGAGGAGTGAGTCGCAAGTTTCACCATCCATGGTTTTCCTATCGCCAGGGATGGGTCGGTCCTGAAGGCCTCTATCTGAACTCTGATGTGCTCGGATACCTGACAGGGGGTGCCTTTGTCACGGAACTTACTGTTTGGCAGCTTCTTTTCGGGGATTTCGAAGATATCATCACCGGTCACGACCCGCACCACTGGCGTCAATATTTCTACCTTTAATATTTTGGTGTTGTAGCTGAACCAACAATGATGAGATCGCATAAAACATGAGACTTGTGCGCTGCTGGATTTCTGGACCGCATGATTCAGGATGCCCCAGAGTACGCGCTGAAGTGCGTGAAGAAAGCTCAGGCTTCAGCCCGTTGTCCTCAGCGATTCAAACTGTGCAGATCGTTGCTGCATCCACCAGGTAGTAAAAGGCCACCAGCAGAAAGCCATCATCATGGAACGCGAGGACTGGAACGTGGAGCATGAGCATGTTCTGCATCGACTCAGCCAGTGTGCGCGAGCAATCTAGCATTGAATGGCCACTTGCAGTTTTAGCACTCCGAAAGGTGAATGCCCAGTGCTATCACCCGTGCATCGTGCAGTTCATCAAGACGTTCCAGGACTCTACAGCCCGCCCCCCTCGTCACCATCATTTGATCCAAGTCCTTATAAGGCATGCTCACAGCACTTGCCTCGAAGCACCAGGACAAGTACAACGTCTATTTCCTCACGGAGTTCCTTGGCGGTGGCGACCTGTTCTATGCCATCCGAGCGATTGGCGTGGGAGACTCATGCCCTCCCCGGCTTCACCAGCTAGCTCGTTCCTGCCTGGGGCAATACGGAATCAGTAAAGCTTTTCATGTGATAAAGAGTTTGCAGAGCCTCATTTGATGCTATTGCTAGCCAGGCCTTGACCAAGCTCCAGTCCCAGTTCTTCACTGGCTCAATTGCTTTAGGCCAGCGACTCCTGCTTAGGCGGCACGGCACCGAATCTTACGCTGTGTCAGGAATCGAGTACCTCCATGGTCGCGGCATCATGTACAGGGACCTGAAGCCCGAGAATGCCCTTGCCCGAGAACCATCTCAGCAAGAGAAGGTTAAAGGGCTGAAGCAGCTACTTGTATGAGTGAAGTCAGGTTTTGCTGGACTTCGCAGGGCGGGCCAAGCTGGTCGACTTCGGCTGCTGCAAGAAGGACGGCAGGCTGAAGAAACGGGCATCTGCGGAAGCTTAGGCCGCGACCTACCAGTAGCGGCCTGCAGGGCGCAGTGACGTGCGAGGAGATCCGCGCAAACACGCTGGTCGGAACTCCCGAGTACTTGGCACCTGAGGCCGGGCTGAGCAGGGCAAGGGTCCGTCCCGGGACGGGATGTTCGCAGAAGCCCAGTCTAGGAGTCTAGTGAGTCTAGTGCGTGTGAGTGTGTGTGAGTGTGTGTGTGTGTGTGAAGTCTGCCTTCGTTGATGTTGCAGCGGACCACCATCTTCGTGGCGAAGAGTCGCAGGTGATCAAAGGCAAGGGCTATGCCAAGTCCATTGACTGGTGGTCGCTGGGAGTCATGCTTTACGAGCTACTTGGCGGCAGCATCATCCTGTTGATGACAATCCGAGAGCATTTGCTCGTCTTGACAACCATTTTTTGGTAAGAGACCGTCTGTCTCTGCATTGCTGTTCAGTATCAGCGAGGCTTCCGTTTGTAGTTCACTGACGCAGGTTCGTGGTTGGCCCCATTCCCTTCGGAGCAGGTGAGGAGGCTGGGACCATCTTCAAATATTTCTGGGAATAGCATGAGTTCCAGTAGTACAAAGGTCTACAGCTCCAACCGGTGACTAGAATTTGTAGCCACAGACGGTTCGTGCTAGTAAGCATCTAAGCACCGCAGCATGTCGCGGAGCAGTGCATGCTTGCCATGATTACCATGTCCGATCAATTTTTGCCGCGTTTGCATGTCCAGGACCAGATGCGGCTCTTCGCGGCGATCAGCGAGGCACTGCAGTGATTTTCTTGGACTCAGACCGCCAGCAACACAGCCATAGTGAACACGAGACTCGGCCTCATCGCAGGAAAGTGCTTTGTGGTTTTTGTGCCGTCGTTTTTGAAGAGACTGCAGGCCCCTCTGACCTTCCCCAGCTACGTCGCCGAAGACGCCATGCAGGCGCTCAGTCTTTGGTCTGCTGGGTGTGCACTGTGTCCCATGTCGTCATCCTACCATCAACAGCCCGTTTTGCTCAAGAGTTCAGAGGTGCTCAGCGGGCTACTGGAGCGGCGGCCGGAGAGGCGCCTGGGCAGCTCCGGGGCGAAGGACGAGACTCTAAACGCGCCCTCTCAGCGTGGGGCAGAGAATCGCCATTTCGGCTGCGGTGAGGAGATCAAGAAACATCTGTGGTTCAAGGGGCAGCTGCCTCAGGTTCACCCGGCTCGAGCCTAGCACTCTGGTTAGGTTGCTCTACGACCTTTGAGTCTGGACTCTAGACCGTGTCGTTGCACGCTGTGGCAGAAGGTTTGACTGGGATGCGCTGGCTGGGGGCTTCTTTCCCCCTCCGTGGCAGCCGGATGCGCAGGCTGTGGACGGGCGGGTTGTAGAAGCTGCGCAGCTTTGGTCTTCCAAGGCTTCGCTACAAACTGGGCTTGCCTCGGTTTGTTAGATTGGTAGGGTAGATCGATGTCGGCCTTTCTGTCTATTCCTGGCATGGTTCCTGCATGCAGAAAACGTAAAAAAACAACGTGCCGGACACGTCATCGACCCCAAAAACTTGAAAGCAACTTCAAAACAACTTGCAACCACGCAAAAAGCAACTTCCAAGGAACTCAATAAAACAACCTTTAAACAAGGCAGCGAAATCCTATGCAAGAACACAATCCCTCTTTGGGTGGTTACGTGGTAGGGGTGCTTTCTGGGGAGTTGCCGCTTGCTTTATGATGCCCCACACAGCCCTTGTGTTGCAGGCGCAGATGAGGAACTGGGAGGTGCACGTGGGGCTTGTTCGTGCGAAGTGTTGGAACGTGTGTCCGTGTCCTGATAATCTCGAGTCACCGACCCGTGATCTCAAGTCTGAACTTCTTCGGGTAATGTTCAGTGCTAATATCTCTCGTTTCAGGAGCCCGATGGTGACCTGATGGATCACGCAGCTCGCTTTACACTGATCTCAGGAACTTGAGTGGATGTTGTGCCGTGGACAGTAGGTTGCAGATCGACCTCCATAAACTTGCAAAGGACAGCTTAGTGAGAGCTCAAGGATTATGCAGCTGCACATCGACTGAGGTAAGCACGGAAAGCTTCTCGTTCGCCAAGGGTCCGCAGCTTAGTACCCCTCAGCCTGCTGCTTGGCACGCCGCATCGGTCGCTTCATGATAATTTTGAGGGGGACTCTGGGGTCTTCAATCTCGTTGGTCATCTGATGACTTTCCAATGCACTTTCAAGCTCAGGAATGGAATGGGCGAAGCTCTTCTGACTTGCATGGGTTGGGCAAGAGCCTGTAGGTTTGGTGTTGTTTGGAATGTGCTGCAGAGCAGTCCCGTGGCAAACCACGCCCAAACTCCGCCGATGATAATGCTCTGGCAGTCATGCGCATGAAGATCTTCATGCTCTAAACGCTATATGCACTCGTGCTACAGCATGCTACAGCTGTGATTCGAAGATTGCGCAAGGCCGCAGTAAACGTCCTATGCCAACACACAATGCGTTGGCTTGTGAATGCACCTCGCCCCACTGCCAAGCAGTGAGCAGCGTTTTATAAAACGACGGGTCTGCCTTCTGTCTGAGGTGACCGGGGAGCTTATGGGAGCTTGAGGTTGCTGCAGGTGGAGGCAGCATGGTTACTGCACACGTCCCATCACGTCCCCCGCGCTTGCAGCGTTTGGCTCAGACTTTGAGGAGAGTTCCAGGCTCTGGCACCAGGACTCCAGGGCCCTCGGCTTCGCAGAGTTTCCCTAGGCCGACGTTAGGCCCGTAAGGAACAAGGGGGGCTCCAATATAGCACCCAAAATTGTAGGATCCTTGTTATAAGGACCCCCCCAAATACGGTACCGTAAGGTTCTCCTCATTTTCGGAAACTCCCATGTAGGCCGTAAAGCTTTGATTCGTTCCATCAAGCTTGATCATCGGGCACGTAAAACGGTGTAGCCGTTCCTTCAAAAGCCCTACATATTCGTTTGACGGCCGTAAGACCTTGGTGACCCAAATGTCTAGGGCACTACCCTTGGCCGTTGTAATGAAGTGTTCCAGTTGCTCGTGCTTCAGTTGAGGCTGTTGTTTTACTTGGGTGTCTGCGTGCATGTGTGTTTGTGTTGATTAGTTTTTTTTGTTGCTGGGGTCTGTTGCCGTAGGGGCTTTTCTTATCCCTTGATTGATAGTGTGGATTGCTTGTTCACGCGCTGCTTTCTCCGACGTTGATGGCTTCTTTGGGACTGCCACTACTGGCATGCTGACACCTTGGTTTTACCTGAGCGCAGCCCTCGGCGACAGAAGCCGGACATGAGGACTGACAAACCCAAAGCCCGTGACCTCTGAGCAGGACAGTGGAATCGCAGGGATGTCGCAGCGTCCTTCGAAGCGTGAAACTCGGCGGAGGTCGGTTTGGAGAGAGCTGCAAAAATCACCCAGGGGTCATTACGCAGTATTGTTATTCTTGCTGTTAGTATCGTGGAACAGTATCATCGAAATCGACTTTGTTATGATGGACACTGGCACTGCTACACTTGGCCTCATCCTTCGTGGTTTGTTCTCGACCGGTATCAGCAATTGTTCATTCGGACGACAGGGCCAACAAGAGCCTGGTATCCCTAGGGACTGAGCTTAGGGCTTAGATTGCAAGAAGTAGTAGTGGTAGTGGCAGTGGCAGTGGCTGTGGCTGTGGCTTTGGCTGTGGCTGTGGCTGTGGCTGTGTTGGTGGTGGCATTGGTGGTGGTGGTGTTGGTGGTGGTCGTGATCGTAGTCGTGCTGGTGGTCGCAGTCGTAGTCGTGGTCGTGGTAGCGGCAGAGGTCGCGGCAGCGGCAGGGGTAGGGGTAGTGTAGTGGTAGTGGTAGTGGTAGTGGTAGTAGTGGTGGTAGTGGTAGTGGTAATGGTAATGGTAGTTGGTGGTGTTCACGGTGGTAGTCCTGGTTGGTGCTGGTCATGGTTGGTGCTGGTCATGGCAGTAGTGGTAGTAGGTGGTGGTCGTGGTAGTAGTGGTAGTTGTGATAGTAGTGGTAGTGATGGTAGTGGTAGTGTGGTGGTGGTAGTAGTAGTAGTAGTAGTAGTAGTAGTAGTAGCAGTAGCAGTAGCAGTAGTAGCAGTAGCAGTAGCAGTAGCAATAGCTGGTAGTAGTGGCAGTAGTAGTGGCATCAGTGATTCGGTGGCAGCAGCAGCAGGCGGAGGAGGAGCAAGGAGCAGGAGCATGAATGGAGTCGTCGTCGCCGTCGCCGCGGTGACGGCGGCGGCGGTGGTGGTGGTGGTGGTGTGTGGCGATTGCAGTAATATGGTCACGACGAGAAATGCCGTCTCATCATCAAAGCCAGAGTTTGGTTCCAGGCTGTTGACTTCAAGTCTGGCATTGGGTGCCCTCGCTGCAGGAAGGCTCGCTGTTTCTTTGTGTTCGATATTCTCACAACCTGCTTCTGGTCTTGTGACCGAGAATCTGTTTTTTTAGACGGCCTGCCGCAGATCATCATGCCAGTTCGGTGGATTGCACCTGAATGCGAGTGAAGCCAGGGCTCATGCTTGAGCTCAGCGAGACATTACATGGCCCTCTCTGGTGTCATTGTTGACGGCTATGGCCCAGCCATTTGAGCACCAGTGCAGGTTTCTCGGTCAGAGTAGCTTCGAAGCTTTCTCGCACGGCCCCCAGCAAGAGCATCGTGTCACCATGGATCCCTGTGTGGGAGTTGGAATGCTGCGGGGCCATGGAAGCAACAAAGAATTGGAGAGCCCATAATGCAACATGGCTCGATGGGCATGTTTGAAGCTAGCAGAAGATTAAAAGGCATCTAACCCCTCTCCGAGGATGACGAACGTCGCGGCTCCGGTTCGGGGCCCCTGGCGATCCCTGAAACAGAAGCTGGGCAGCCACCCAACGCAGGCGCAGTCTTGTGTGCTTTGACTACTGCAGGCTAAGATAGGCTAAGGATGCAGTCATGCACGCCAGGCCTCCATTGCAGCGCTGGAGGGCACCACACCGCAATGCCTGGCGGATCGCTCGGGTGTTTTGTTTTGGCCTTGCAAGTTGGAAATGGTTTGTAAAGTGCGTGAAAGTGCGGTTCTTGACAGACGCTCTCTATGTCGGCAGCGTGTGTTGCAGCACGGGTGAAGATCTTCAACTCTCGGTTCAGAGGTGTCCTCGATCGACGACCTGGAGGGCACCTGGCACGTCACCAGCCCGAAGGTCCGAGACTCTCTGAGCAGCTGACGTTTTCTGAACTCCTCCTTTGTGACTAGAAAATACTAGAGAGACGTCTGCTGCAGGAAAATGCTCAGAAAGGGTGGCGAGCTTTGAAATGGCAAAGTTTGGTTTACGAGTGGGAGTTCTGTACCAGAACATGCGAGAGATGTGGATGAGGTTGCTGCACGGAGACGTTCCCCGCATGCTTCTGAATCTCTACACCGGCGACATTGGGAGGAGCCATGCCACCCACCACTTCAGAATTCCCCGATTTCTGCTCAGCTCACCATCTTCTCATAAGGGTTTGCTCAAGTGCAGGATGCTGAGCATGGACGTCGTTGCTTCCCCGGTGCTGCACATCGCCGCAGACGGGCGCACTACCACTGAGACACAGCTGAGGTCGGATGTTGCAGATTGCGGCAGAGCCCTGTAGAAGAGCCCTCTTTTAGATGCGCAGATGCTCGAAGCAGGTGGGGCCAGCAGCAGGACCACATCACGCTCCAAGGCCGGCTGGAGCTCGTCGGCCCCAACCGCCTCCGGGAGGCAAAGACGTGCCTTGGGGGGGAGGGGGGGGTGCTGCGAAGCAAAGCCGAGGGAGCGATAGAGCGAGGGAGGGGTGGGGTCAGCACGCCTCGTTGCCAGAAGCCGAAAGCTACACGATCAGATGCATTGAAGCTGACAATGCCCGGAACCTAGTAGAAGTAGCAGTTCGTGGACGCGTGGCCTACAGTGTCGACTGCTCACACCGAGGCCAGCGATGCAGAGAGATCGGGAGATGAACATCACGTGACCAAGTCGCCACGGTCAGCAGTGCAGGGAGGTTCGAATCTTGAGGTCCCGACTCTGGAACTGGCCGTTGGTAGCACTGTAGCAATTCTGTAGCTCCCCGCGTCTCGACCTGATCTGGACAGGTACTTCGACGGGACGCTCCTGATCTTGCGGGACTCCCGTGGCATCGTGGATGTGCTCTGGCGCGAGGAGCTTCCAGGGTCGAGTGCGCGGAGCACGTGAGTCTGGCCGCGTAGGTGGTGTTGCGTCATGTCTTTGGCAAGGCAACATGGGGTGGATCGAAAGAGGATCTGTTGAAATTGAGCGGGGATACAAACTAAAGCAGATGGGCAGCCTAGAGCGGGGTGGGTCCAAGCACGAAGTAGTCTTCTGATGTTGTCGCGAAACTTGATTGCCAGTCCAGCTGAGTGGAGATTGTAGAGCCATGGACTTGTCAGAAAATTTAAGCCTGCTTGGCCAAGCTGGCTTTAGCTTTGGAAGCATACTCGGTTGATCTACATGCTAGTTTCAACAAGAGGGACGGACTAGCGCGAGAAGAAGTGATGGTCGCCACTGCCACATTTGCACACTCAAGGAGCTGGCATATCCACGAAAACGATGCGAGTGGTCGCAGCTCTCACAACAAAGAGCCAGCTAGGTGGGCAACCATCAGAAACGACCCAGCTAAGGCAAACCAGTCTCACTCGAGGATATGTGGCTGGAGAGGAATCAGCATCTGCAGTGCGAGCACCGCCCTTCGGAACGGCCTAAGGCCGCACCGTGAAGTTGTGCGGCCCGAAGCGGGCAAAGAACACGGATTCTTGTTCCCTTTGCCTTGCGGTCTTTGCTCACGTTCCATGCCTGCAGGAGTTGGAAATGGTGGAGGAGGACGAGGATCTTCCATTGGATCCCACAGGCCTGTAGGGAGCAAACAGGGCCTCAGACGTTAGGGCCGCTAAGTTTGCTGGACTTTGCATGACTTTGCTCGGTTTCGGTTGAATGACATTGAATACAGGCAGTTCTGGTACCTGGCTCCGAAGCGCTCCGGGACTGTAGCAAGAGACCCTGACCCATGGTAGCAGCAGTGGAAGACAAGTAGAGGATAAGTGACGAGCGTTTGTGAGCAACTTGTCTATAATCCATGTACGGGTGGCTACTCGGTGTCGCACTGGTTCTGGTTGGCACGATCGTAGCCATTGGCGGGATACAACTCTTGCGAGCAGAGCAGCTGCAACAGAAAGGCTCGCATGCGTGCGACGACGAAATCAGGGCGTAGGGAACCAGCCAAAACAGCATTGTATTTGGGGACCTCCAAAGACCCTGCAAGCACACCATTACAGACAGACCACCCGCCGATGCAGCAGCAGCAATAACAACAGCAGGGTAGCCAGGACGAGGTAGCGTGGAGCAGGCGCACCGCGTGGCGGGCACTTCCGGGCAGCACCCAACGGCACCAGCGGCACCGAGGGGCCCAACCATGACCTGAAGCTGCGGGTGAACGCTTGAAAGCTGTAGTGCAGCAGGCTTATCAGCAACGGGGGCGGGAGAAAGTACAGCATGAGACATGGAACCAGGTCGCTCGCCACGTGGGTGGAGATCATGACTGCACCGACTGGATAGTTTGAGTGCATGAGTGCATGCACACGCGGAGCCTGCCCAGAAGTTTTCTGGACAGCTCTCAATAAGACGAGCGCGCAACGGCAGCGGGCTGGAACGGGAGCAGCATGCGGAAATTCAAAAAGTCAGCCGAGGCAACCGCCCCGCGTTGTCTGGTAGTTTTGCATTTGCTTGCGTATCTCGGGTGCCGAGAAGTTTGGTTTCCTCGCTAGCCGATCCAGAAGAGGCAGTGCACCTCCCACGCCGGTGGACCAGGCACGCAGTTGCAGGATGGCGAGTGTGACCAGATTGAAGGTCAACGCAGTGATTCAGAATTTGAATTGTGTCATGGGCAGGTTTGGCTTGCATCGGCAGCTATCTTGTGATTGTGATGCCCCCTTTGCAGCCGTAAGCCTTAGCCATTGCCCAACGCTAATGCTGGCTTCCTCATGCTGCACAGTGCAGGGCAGCCTGTCGTGTGCAGGTCGAAAGCCTCTTGGTCAACGTCAAGACCCTGTCCAACTCACTGGAGGAATCATGCCTCCTGACAGTCTATGTTTGGTTCTGAGAACGTAGCCCCTTCGTCTCTTGAGCAGACGGACTCGTGACTTCGTACCGCAACAGCAAGTAGCTTCAAGACATTCGGCGATTGTGCACGAAAAGGAGCTCCGGAATCAATCCAGCCGCGACAAGAAGGCCTGTCAGAACACGTGTCGCGGGACTCGACGAGTTACTCCCCCCGTGACCCCGCAGACAGACCTCTGTACGTGAACTCAGACTCAGATGTCGAGCCTGGATTGCAGTTCTCGCTTACCCCGGCCTGAAGAGCTGGAGTCATGGAAGTCATCCGCCAGGTTCGCCACACGCTTTCAGACGAGATCGCGAGGTTCCATCCTTTGCACTGATATTGCGTGAAGTGAGGAACACGTTACGCAACTTTGTGTCGACCCGTCGAAGGCTGGAGAAGGAGCTGGATACAGTGACGGCCGCTGCACGGGCTGATTCTGCAGCTGGGCCTGCAAGACTTGGATCCTAGCACTATTGTGACGAGTATCGCGTGTTGGCTCCTGGTTACTTATCCCATTCTCCTTGACCTGAAGGCAGCTTTGCAAATCTCAAACGATCGACAAGCGAGTTAATGTGGGGTCCATAACCTGGACGGCAACAGGCTTCGATCAGGTCGTTCTTGCAAACATTTGCTTGCTATCTTGCCGGACTGGTCGCTGCTACCCGACCCGTCTCAGAGTTCGGTCGGGCTTTCATTTTCATGCAAGAATACATAGTTTGGTGATTGATGGACCATAAGAGATGACACGCTCAGACTTCGGTTTCGGATTGTCTCTGCAAACCTAGTCGTTATGCTCAACCCTCCGAGCCAAAATGTTGAACGCAAAAGGGTAGTGGCTCAAGCAGTTTTCTTTCACTGCAGCCCCCAGCTGTTGGGAGAATGATCGAGTTGTGTTTCTTCACAGACCGGGCAACCACGAAAGACGCGGTACTTTTGCCTGCTCTCTGCCATGATGTGGCTCTTTTCTCCATAGCTTTACAAGGCTCTGACCGAGCGGCTGGCTAACCTCTCGCGCGCAACAAGCCCTGCTTTAGCGGAGTCCGCACAGGAGCGGACCAGGATTGAGCTGCAGCCGCCGGGCAAATGCGCCTCATGATCAACACCCTCAAGAAAGAGGGTGAAGAAGGCCTAACTCCGTTTTTCGAGAACGAAATCTTTATGTGGAAGCTACGGATCTACATCCGCAACAAGGTCTCCAAGGCCTTCCGTCTAAACATAAAACGGGACATGATCAGGCTCCGACAGCTACGGGAGCAGAAGACAGTCGAGCAGAAGATGCAAGACCGGCACCTATTGCGATCTCCATGGGCAAGTGGACCAAGGGTCTGCTGCTGCTCAGGCACCCATGGTGCCTGGCTTTCCATTCTGCTCTTGTGCAACCGGCAGTTGCCTGCTCCGCAGGTGCTGCGACGCACAAGAGCAGAATGGAAAGCCAGACCCGTTCTTCAAGATGCTAATCACTACTTCGCAGAAGAAGCCGACAGACACCCAGTTGTCGCCTGAGGATGCAGCAGCACTGGCTGCTATGTGGGCAGAGGAGCCCAGGAACAGCTTGTCGAAAGCAGCCCACGCCGAGCAACATGAGGCACCTGATGCCTTTCTGAAGATGCTCATAGAGACGTCAAAGAAAAAGCCCATGCAGATGTAAACCGAGCAGGCCGCGGCAACAATATCTGTGGTGGCGGAGCAGAGTTCAGCTGAAGCATTGCTCGCAGAGCAAACCTTTTACTCAGAGGCGGCGGAGGATGTTGGGCAGATTCGCACTCAAGGTTCGCAGAGCAAGCCAAGCGACTCTCAAATGTCGCCTGACGATGCTGAAGGTCTTGCTTTGTTGATCGCAGAAAAACCAGCAAGCAACACTGAAGCGCGGACTGAAGAGTGCTGGACTGAAGAGTATGCATGCGACACGGACGGTTGGGATGATGATGACTTCTGGGCTTGCATCGATGTCAACCTGCCACCACACTTGGCAGCAGCCAAGCTCTATTGCAGTCATGGGAATTTTCGATAATTCTGCAAGCATCACCGGTGCTCCCGCCATGGCCACGAACAATGATATGCAAAACGAGGATCCCCTCATGGGCTTGTGGGACAAGCTAGGCAGCTAGATGCCAACATGCAGAACTTGTGGCAACCAAGCTCATCCATGAGGCCCGTTTCACAAAAAAGCATACTGAACAGCGAGGAGTGGAGGTGCCAAAGAGCACTCGCAATGTAAAGCCGTCAAGTTTGGCCAGCGATCTGAGCAAGTCGCCGAGTAGCCCAGTTGCTAGTCCCTGACGGACAAGTTGTATCCTCGGCTTCGATCCTTGATTGTCCAAGGGCTGGTTCCGCTGTAGGGAAAGTTAAGCGATGTGACTGCTCACACTTGCTTGGCATAATTGTTTCTGTGCTGTGTGGCGTTGGACGGCATCCTCGCTTCGCCAAAGAAATTGCACGAAGACTTCACCAGTCAGAAAATCTACCTGAAGCCTCTCCGTCGTCCTGACTTCTGACGGTTCGTCAGATGCAAGCCTTGCAGCCACGTCATCTCTGAGAGATGCACCCACTTCAAAGCGAACAGAGTCTGCCGAGCCTCGGAGCCAAAACAGGCCCGACTGCATGCCCGGACACGGACACTCCACCCGTCCTTTCCCAAATCCCGACGGGACGACATACGAGGGAGCAAGCCTTCTTCCCAACTGAATTGGGGTCAGTCTTTTTCAATCAAAGTTTCTTCTCGTGCCTCGCCCCCGTAGTCGTCACTTTCATGTCCTGTCCAAAAAATGAAGGCGGAAACATCAAACAATCTGCCTGACGCAACTCCCCGCGATGGCCGGAAGAACTTGCTGCCTTTCATCGTTGGGTCCTATGCCGCCAAGTAGATGTGTGTTGGGTGCTTGTTACTGGCCGATCAGTAGCAGTTTGCAACGTCTACCGGCTTCCACTCCTTCTGACTCAGACAGGCCAATTCTACTTGTTCTACTTGTGTAACGATTCCTTTTCAGCCTCGTGGGGAGTTTTCTGAGGGGTCCTGTGAGTCTTTGTTGGGGCGTGCTTTCAGCTGCAAAGGTCGCGGTGAAGGCGATCGAGCGGCTCGGAGAGAAGGACGCCCTGTCTCGGAACAGCTTGGGTCAACCAGTAGGTAGGAATCAGAAAGTGAGGTTCTGCTTGCAGGTCAGAAAGTCATAAGTTTAAGTGCTGGTAGGACACCTCTTGACTTCTTCACTCTTCGATCCATTTGGCGAGTTGTCCAGCTTGATGACATGAGATGTTTGTTTGGCCTGAATGCATGCGCTGGTATCGAACTTCATGTTTTTGCACGGCCACTGCACGCAGCAAAGACAGGTGTCCGGCATATTCGAGGCTCAGAAAGAAAAGACGAACGAGAAGGCAAGTCTGAGATGCAGTGCTTCGTCTAAGATGCAATGGCTGCCGCTGATACCGTATGGAACGCACGAGCAGACACGATGACAAGCCTGCTCGTGTGAAAGCAGTCAGTGTACTTTTGTTGCCACGTGCACAGACACAGAACTACGACGCCATGCAGCTCGAGATGGCGAGTCCATGCCTCAGAAGTTCAGTTCGAGAGAGTCTGCGAAAGTTGAGCGGGAGGCAGTTTTCGGGTTCCTTGAATCGAATGCGACTAAGATTAAGAGGCATGATGTCTTGATTATTTGTTCCATGGCCATAGTACGAGAATCTGGCACTTCGAGGCCTTCGAGCTCGTGCCAAGGAGATGGAGTCCAATATCTCGAGGTCTGACTCTTGACTTCCAAGAAAACCTTGAAGCCACAAGCATGCGCTGTCACACATAGATGTCAGTTTGAAAGGTAGAGCAGCACCAGTTAAACAGCCAAAGAAAGGCGAGCAGCTAGTAGCAGCAAGCACGCAGTAAACGAAAAAGCAATCCAAAGGTGCATGAAAGGTGATAACTTGTGGCATACTGTCATGTCTCTATCCGTTATGCACGATGTAGCTTACCTTCACCATGTCGTTTTAAAGAAGCAGGTTGGTGTTTTGGGACTTACAGCTTCATGTAGGGATTTTGCTTTCAGGTGACTTTGTAGTGCCTTTTATTCAATCTGCCGATTGGGGCCCTCCATTGGAACGGCTTCTAAATCAGCAATATCCTGCAAGGCATAATCTTTGATCCTGCAAGTATCTTCTGAAAGCAAGACAAGCCTGAGGGGCTAGCAGCAAACTCTGGAGCGCCTGGACTTCTGGCTGGCAGGTTCCGCGTGCGCGAGTCCAATCTGAAAGAGGAGATGCAGGTGCTGCAGAGCGATCGTAGAGCAGGCTGGCCCGGAGGGCCGGAGGGAACAGAAAACTGAGTTAATACTGTACTTTTGAATCAGTTCGAAGATTCCGCAAGGTTTCCAGGTCCAGCAATAAATTGAAGATTGTCAGCCTGCATCTTAACACTACGTAGACTTTACCCCGAGACGCAAACCTACCTCGAGGCAAGCGACATTCCGACGAAGCGGCTGCCTACCGCGCCGCCATGGAGAAGGCGAGTGGCAATGGACTCACCTTTGGTTCGTAGGGAATGGAGGAATGGGGAGCAATTATAGCTATATTATAACTACTATTACTACCATTCCCTATTAACCAAAGGTAAGTGGAAAAGGGGGTCAGGGTTCCGGGCGCGAAGGAGGCGCCGGCTTGGAGAGACACGAGGACAGCTCTGAAATGACCTTCGTCAGGCACATGACGAGCTTCGTACGGTGAGGAACGAGCTCAAAAGTGCTACCAAGGACGGAGCCCACTGTAACTGTAGCTGCCATTGTGGTGACAATGTGGCTGCCTGGGGTACGGTATTTCTTAGAGGCATGCTCCTGGGAGTATATTGCTGGGATATCATGTTAAATGCCGTTGCTGGTCGCCGGGTGCGCCCGTCAAACTGCTTCAGCTTGTCCACACTTGAAGGAGGTAGGGCGTTTGTCGCACCAGCTCCGTGAGAAGAGTGCGATGCCGGCACACTTGCCCTGGATCTCCACTGAGTCGGCTCGCGGGCTTTCAGGGGGTTTTGTCAGTATGGAGCATCATACGGGAACAGCCAATTGGCGAAGGAGACGTTTCAATACAGAGCGATTCAGCTTGCACCTTGCCCAAACACTGTACTGTGGCGTAGGAGCATTGGCATGGTGATTTTCTGATTGCTGTGAAGATGTCATGTAGCTAGATCTGGTCATGTCGGCAAACATACAAGCTGAGCACAGGAGTAAGGAACAACATCAAAGCGTGCGCCACGGCTGCGGCAATCTGAGACAACAAGCGAACAGTCCATTTCGGCCTCCCCGGCAGCATGGCGATTGGATGTAAGTGAAACTTGAAGGCAACGCAAGGCCTTTCGCAAGCATGCAAGTAGTCGCAGCACACCATCAAATGCTGGGCACGTGTGCGAAGTCTCGGTGAGCTCTTGGAATGCCAGGTTGAGCTGGAGAGGGTTCAGAAGGCCATGGGGGTGGAGATCGACGCACCTGGACAGCAACAAGAAAGGGTTTGAAAGGATCGGTTTGTGATACATCAGTTTCTTTTGAATTCATAGTAGCTCTCTGAAGCCAGGCACGGAAGAGGACCAAGGAGCCTGGGTGTGAGTGAGTTGGGTTCATGCCTGAATCTGCCAGTGCTGCCTTTCTTGCAAGGATTTGTAAGGCTCAACTGAACTGCTGAACATGAATGGGCCGTGTGGTGGCATGTTGTCAGGACCAGCTTGATGACCAGCAACGCGGCTACGAGGAGGACCGGGATGGGGATTCCTGTGTTCGTGTTTACCGAGATTGTGAATTGGCGGGCAGGGCCGCATCTACGAGTTTGGAACGGAAGCATGACAATTCCAAAAGCCGGACATGCAAGCACACGAAAGCCCAGAACACACTAACTACGACGAAGTTATGGCAGAAAGCAGCACAAACGATGAGCAGAAGCCATCCAAATCGTTGACAGAGAATCGAACATAGTGCACTGCAGGGCCCCGGTCCTGAATCAGTGCTTTCGCTTTTCCTGGAATACACGGAAGCTGCTCGGCCAGGCACGGCAGAGACTTGCCCGTGCCGGAGAAGTCGAAGCTGCCGGCGCCTTTCTTGCTTGGGGCAGGGGAGCAGGAGGCCACCCGGGTGGCCAGAAAGGCGGACGGAAGCAGATGCCAGGCGACTAGATGACTAGATCTTGTCGCTGATAAAATATGATAAAATACACTCGTCGAAATGCCTGCCTGTCTGTCTGTCTGTCTGTCTGCTATGTTACGTGATCGCATGTTCTGTCATGCTATGTTATGTACTGAAATGCAGTGTAATGTAATGTTATGTAAGCATTACGTTTATGTGTACGTGCGTACATGTATTTGCGTACATGTTTTTATACATATGTGTATATATATATATGTATATATATTATATATATAGATGTACGGTTACACATATATATATATATGTATCTATGGATCTACCTATCTATGTATCTATCTATTTGTCTATAGACATATATATATATATATATATATATATCTTTATTTACTTGTATATCTGTGTATACATATATACATATGTATAATGTGTGTACATGTATATGTACTTTGCCTAAGGCCCTCCGGCAAGAACTGGCGAATGTGCGCTCGGAGCTCGAAGACCTCGAGGAACGAGAGGCCAGCAGCTCTTCGTGAAGAGCAGACGACGAGGGTCTCAGATAGTGTATTTTCCAACGACTGCGGGCTCTGTATGAGAAGCCCGACACAGTTAAGGAGACTCTCTCTTTAGGGAGTAGTAAGTATGGAGGCATCTCGAAGATGCAAGCGGAGCAAGCTCGATGTATTCTATGCGATGCCGCTCGAAAGTAAAGCTTGAAGCAGCCAGCCTAAGCTCGCCTTCTAACAGTTCTGACAACTCAGCCTCCGTCGTCAGACTCGCCTCATCGCAATGCTTGGAACATCATGGTTTTAGCATTGCCGTCATCGGTCATGAACGGCAGTCCTGCCACTGCAATCGTCGACAATCAAGCTTCCTCCGTTGGTGGAGGCCAAGAGCAACGAGATGGCGGCGGACATCGAAGAGGAGATGAACCAGTTGGCAGACCGGGCCTGCATCAAGGGGTGTTGCAACGTTGGGACCTACATAAAGCTTACAAGAGTTTCTTAGGGTTCAGGCATTGGGTTGGTACTCCGAGGGACTTGGGCCGAACTTCAACTACCGCTTAGGAAAGTTGCCGTACTTGTAGTTGGCATGATAAGCAGGGAAAAGTTTTCGGTTCCCACCTCCCGGTTGGATTGTGCGCTGAAAGCTGCACAGGTGAGAGAGGCCAAGAAGACAATGAAAGACCTGGGCGAGAAGAAGAAGCGTCGGTTCTGGGTGCGCCCTGCATTCTGAGCTCCGAAACCTCAGTCTTAGGAGTATGAGTATGCAATGCTGGAGCGTTGTGCAGCACGTCTTGTCACAGCATGTTCAGCATATGAGACCGATCCCTAATGAGTGAAGTGCTTTCGGTAGGCTTGTGTAGAACCGTGCAACCTTGTCTCCTGCCTGCCAGCCGTTCCGCTAAAGCGCGGGGGAAAATCAGATCCGAACTTGCCTGGTGCCTACTCGCAGCAGTGCGCTGCGTAGTGTTTTTCCTTTCGTACCTCATACATAGGGCGGGTGTCAAAATTATGGCCCCTTCTTGGGTACCCTAAATATTAGGTGCCGCACTATATTCGATATTGGGGACCCAAAAAGGGGCCATAATCTTGACAACCACCCACATAAATGCGAATGCAAGCATACATGCATACGGGCAGACCTACGTACATGTGCACACATGCTTACATGAATACGTGGAACCGAGTCTGGGCGATGCAGGGTTTCAGCTCCGATTCTGGCGAGATGAGGCTAAGTTTCTATTCCAGGGTGAAACGAACACAATGTAGCATGTCCGGATGATTCTTCGTTCCAGCGTGCGGATGATCCTCCTTCCAATTCTCCAAACATTGGATGCTGGAACGAGCTTGCTGGCCGAGGTTGCCGAATCGCAAAGAGGTGACGGTGCCACAAGTGCAGCCTTGGCAAAATTGTTTAAACAGGTTCCATTGTTCGGCTGTTCGTGATGCAATGTCTGCAAAGCTCAGCTGAACCAGCTTTGAGCGCGGGAAAGCGGAGCAAGGGCATTTGAGGAGAGCGCCCCTGCACCCTCAGCCACTTTGCTAGACTGCGTCTCAGTTTAGCGCGGAAACAGCCTCAGTTTGGCGTTTGAAAGTGCTGACGGCCGTCTGCGTGCTGTTTCCAGTTCCAGCCTTGAGAGTGGAAGGCCTGCCTGCTACGATCTAAAGCACACGGTTTCCACGCAGTGGTGGCAGCCTTCCCTTATGGGTTTAGAGAGCCCGAAATCGCCGGCTTCATTGCAGCGCGAGAAAAGGCAGGGGACCTTGCACGATCCGACTCGATCCCAGTTGACTTGCATGATGAATGCCCGGCCTCACCGCCGCAGCATGCTTTGCTTCACAAAGCGGGGTTGGCACAAGTGAGAGTCAACATGCATGCATCGCAGCGAAAAGCCAAAGCTTGAAATTGAAAGCTTTGGAACTTCGGGAGTTTGGCGTGCAGCTGACACCCAGCTGGTGCTAGTAAGGCAGAGGGTCCCAGCATGACGTCGCCAACCTCCGAAGCCACCACCCAGCAGGATGCCGGGCCGCGGCCTCAACACCAGGGAGCGTGTGCCTGTGTCTTCGGGCCAGCCGGCCAGCACTCAGCCAGGTGGGACGACTACATCATTTGGGGCATAGACTTTAAGCCTGCACTCCCGTGGGCCATCCTGTCTTGTTTTTTGAGGACGCGTTGAGCCTGTGCTAGAGTGCGTCTGATTGCAGGCTTTGATCGGGTCATTGGAACGAAGCTGAGACTGGCAGCCTTGAGTTTTTGATTTCGGGCTGCCAGCAACTGAACCTGCGATTGAGGTAGTTTCGGTGATCTGTATGGTTTTCGTGCAGATTCCCATCATAAGCCAGCTGCACGCGCTTCCCCAGGCAAGCTGTCACCCCCAAATTGCTATCCACCAAATATGGGCACGTTTCGGGCACGGAGCCTGTGCTTTCCCGCATATATACACTGGCGACATTCAGGAAGAGTGCCCGATGGCCGCAGCACGTCAAGCATGTAGTTCAGTTCTGTTGGTTGATTGAGAGTTTTGGATGGCTTTGTCAATGATTTGTTTGATCTGCTAAATGTTGATGCCTGGATGCCTCACCCAGAGTGTCAGTGTACCTGGTGATAACATTGACGACGGTAAAGATCCCTTGCCAGGCTCTGTTGATTGGCATTGAAGTTGGCCTTTCCGTCGCGACAGTTGCTCTCATGGGGTCACTTGGCCTATGTGTTGCCGTGTTCCGTTCTTGGGCATCCCGTCGTTTTGTCAGGTATTGCGGCTTGGCAGACCCAGGCCAGGCCCAAAGCGGCCTTGACTTGGAGCAGGTCTGGCGCAGCGATTCGGAATTCGAGCTGGGATGTGCGCTTCTTTGTGCGCTTCCTCGAAATGTCCAACCAGGGCCACGTTCCACCCCGGGCCCACAAGCCCGGCACCGGGTTGGAATCTTTTGGCAACTTGTGCAGTCGTCAGCTTCATTCTTCCCAGGTCATGGTTGTACACTCGGGAAATCCGCCGGTACGACCACTACTGCCGCCGCAGCAGCAGCTGGTGAGAGGAGTGGTTGTTCGCCATGACCCAGCAAAACGGATGCCACACGGCGCTGGCTAAGGTAAGTGGGTCAAAAACGTAATCGGTGCGGTTCTCAGACTCGTTGAAGAAGTTGCGTGCCCATTTTTGACAGCATCTTGCTCGGAGGACTGCTAAATCACAGAGAGTTCGTCGTCATGCTGATTGGCCGGCGGCCAAGCCGTCACGCTTTCTCAGGGATCCGCGGTATGTCAGAAAAGGAGACAAAATGCCAGAAAATAACCCAATGTGTGGGCCTCTACCTTGCCGTCTCGTTTCTTCTCGCTAGCACAACAACAGGCGGTTGGGATATTGCCAATATCTCCGACACTTTCCGACCCACCTGAGGCCTGACCTCAAGCGGTGTGCCATCGTCTCAGCTCATCGCTTGTTCGATTGACTTGCGTCTTGTTATGCGTCGGATGCGCGTCCGGCTTCGTATTTGTTGGGATACAATGTCTTAAGGCTCGGCCTTGCCGTGGATACCTACCTGGCACTAGTCATGGCTTTCAAGGCATGCGTTTGCTGTTTCCGTTGTTTTTGAATCCATGCTTCGTGCGCCTGTTTTGGACAGGTCCCGTGGCAAACGTGCATGATCTTGCTCCTGCCTTGTCGGCTGGGGCATGCGCTCGTAGGTTGTTCGGGAAGGATGCTCGTGCAAGTGTGGGCAGTGTGCCTTATCTGAGGTTGCACCTTGCTTTCTGCATTGCCCTCTTGGCAATCGAGGTGTTTCAAACTCAGCGAGTGAAGTTCGCACCTGGTGGCAAGAGCATGGCACGAGACAAGCGGCACAGCCTTTCGCGTTTCAGGCCCATGCTTCAGATTCACATCGGCCTGATCTCAAGGACCGTGGGGGATGCAATATGTGGTTCACTGAATTAAAGAACGGTTTGTGTGAGCTGGAACGGCCAGGAACGAGCTGGCCTATGAATGGGTCAGCAAAATCAATTACGTAGCCAGGAGCTCGTGGGTCAGCTTGGCATGGGCAGGGTGAGAGCCTGAACCGGGAAGTCCTTGGCCAATAGCTTTGAGATGTAACCAAGGCCTTCAACACAACCCAGGGCGACGGCATTCCTGTCGGCGTTCTAGACGTCGAAGAGTGCCCCTGCAGAAGGTAAAACGGAGACGGCGTTTCCAACGAGCCGAGATGTAGTCTTGCAGGTACAATGAGCTTTTCGATGAGTTCGTGTACGACAGGGAGAGGCGACCCTGAAAGCCCAGGCCCCAAGCTGCTGCCACTTTCGCCTGCAATGCGAGGAACCCATGGGACCATGGGCGCTCTGTTAACTGCTGGAATTTTTGGTGCTGGCCGCGCTGGCCAGCTGTCCGTGGCTGAGAGAAACAGGAGAAAGCACGGTTTCGGACACTGTGTTCGCATCTGACATTTGAGGATGAGACGGGTGAGTTTTAGGATTTTAGGCGAGGGAAGGGTTTCACTTGGCTGATGTTTCACTGTAACCGGTGGCCGTGCAAAGCCTGGCGTCTTGAAAGTCGAATGTGCGCGATTTCCGAGAGAAAAACCTGAGCTCCCAGCACCAGCTGTTGAACCCGGCCGTGACATTGCGAGGCCCGAGCAGCATGAACCTTTGCTCATCCGCACAGCGCCACCAGGAATCGAGTTGTGGACAGTCATCGTGTGTCCATCACACCTGCATGCCACATTCCGGGTGGGCCCTCAGGCCCCGCAGCATGATTTTCGAGCAGCAAGATTTCTGGAACGACTGAACGACGCAGCCGACGTGCAGCAAGACTCCTAGAGTTGCAGTCATGGCTGGAACCTTATGGGCAGAAGGCGCTTGCCTTAGAGACTCTCTCATCGTACAAGGTGTGTCGTCGACCTGTCCAAGCTTGCAGCCACGTGAGGAGTGCGTGCGCTGTTCGCTGACGAGTGCACTTCCGCAGCGAAGCTGTGCGAGTCCCAGATGTAGCAGATGTAGCTGTGTAGGATCTCGGGACATCGATCTTGTGATGCGTGTCGGCAGTGGCGAGGTATCTCATCAGGTGATAGCGGCAGACAACCAAAACTTGTAATGCTTACATTAGAACAGCTCTGCCCTGCCACCTGCCTCTTCTGAGGTTTGCTGCTTCCATCCAGGACACTGCGCAAAGTACTCGTACCGTTTTTCTGCAGACAGACAGTGGCAGCTGACGAGGAGGAGCCGGTAGAATCGAAAGTCGCGGCGAGGCTCTGTCATGCTCAGGGGTGGCTGGTGCCAGTGGTGGAGTAACTGAGTAACAGCCCTGCCGACTCTTGGAAGTGTAGAAATGTCGATCTTTCTGCCGTTCTATGCGTGCCGCCAGGCGTCTACACTTCTTGGCAGAGATGCTACTGGACAGCGGCCGTCCACTCGAAGCTATCAGGCGTTGACATCGGTCGTAAGAAGCTGCGGCAGGTTATTCAATGTGTCTTACAGCAGGGCTAACCTGACCTGCTCTGCGAATAATGCACTCTTCGGAGGCATGCGATCGTCACTTTTGAACACCGTTTCACTCTGATGTTTCTGCTTCACCGCGACTAGTTGCCGCATATAGCCCGGCTGCAGGCTGTCTTCAGCCGGCCAGAGTAGTGCAGGAAAGAGCATGGCATCGTTCCACGGCACAGCGGCTTCTTCGTCGGGGGAATGTTGCCAGGCACTTGCAGCAGGCGGTGAAGCTGGATCCAGATTTGAAGGAGGCTGAGCAGACCTTTCCAACTTCGAAACGACAGTTACGCATGAGCCACATGAATGACCTGATTCGCGCGCGGCCCTGTTGAGGCCCACATTGCCCTGTGTATGTCACTCGAGGAGGTACTCCAGCGGGGCTGCAATTGAGTTTTACTTTCGAGAAACGGGCGGTGAGGCGGTAACCGGTAACCTGCCTGGACTCCTCCCAATTTAGTGGCATTTTAGATCAAGCCCGACGCTCCTGCAGGTTCGGGACGACGATGCACTCCGAGCTGCGGTGGCGGCAGCCATCGTGGAGGGTGGCGTCTGGTCCTCGCCAAGGCTCTCTGTCGGTCACCGAAGCATCGTCCACGGAATCCTCTTGTGGTGGCCAAACAGCCAGCACGTACAATTTCCGCAACGTTTGCTCACTGCGTTCCCAGTTGCATGTTTGGGGCCTCGACCCGCGAAATCCTGTGGTGGTTGAGTGCGAAGGGGCTGCAGATAGCATTGTCTGACAGGCAAAGACTTCGAGACCAATAACGATGTGCAATTATGAAGCTACGACTCAGATCCAAGAAGAAGTTAGGATGCCACGTGCCTGCCGAAAGGAGCATCACCATTCTGTTGGAATTGGATCAAATGTACATCCTAAACCCTAAACACTAAACCCGGCCTAAACCCTAAACACTCCTGAAGCTCCGATGATGCAGGCAACGTCCTGCCGCTTTTCTGGCAGATCTTGCCTGGATCCTACAAGTATCTCTACAGGCTTGACCTTGTTTGAGGGTCTCCTGGAGCTCGGCTGTCATAGTATATCCTGGTTCATTATAGTACATGATATTTGTTATAGTAAGTCTTAATGCGTTATACTGTGTTCCGGTATATTATAGTACATTATATTTTTTCAGTATCGTATAGCATGTTATAGTACATTATAGTCTATTCTTGGAACGCTCTCGCTCTGCTTGCGGCTGAGGTGTCTCAGCCTTTCTGGGATCCAAAGATCTTTCCCTGGGTCCAGGCATGGAGTTGACGTGCATAACAACTCTAAATGAAGCAACTGTTAGTGTTATCATCATTATTAGTATCATCATAGGAACATCCGATCCGATCCATTTCCATGAAGGGTTCTGGGCTGAACACGACGCGAACATAATGAATGCCAGCTTGTTCAGAGCCGCTGCCGCGCGTTCAAGCATGAGAGGGTTTTCCATCACAATCCGCTTGTGCGAAGTCAACTTCAGAAGCGTCCACGAAACTGCTGTATTCGAGAGCTTGATTTTTCATCCCGATGCTCCAAACTCTCAGACTTAAGTTGATGGAAGACCACTTAACTGAACATCGATTATCATGCACAGGCGCTTGAGGCTGCCTCGCCTCGGATACGTTGTGAGCTCGAGGTGTGAAGCTTAGGGTGTATGGCTGGAGGGGCATTTCGGTGACCAGGCTCGCAGGGGATCAAGGCCAGATGCGAGCCAATGCTTGGCTCGAGGAAGCGATGAACGAACGGAGATCTTGCAAGCGATGCTTTCTCTGCGCATACGGATTTCAAGTTCTTCACGACCCCGGAACAGGAGCATCAGAGGAATGTGGGTTGTATGACACAAAGTACACCAGCCTTTCGGTTGAGATGATGCGATGCAAAGCCAGAGCTCTCGTCTCGCTGCGCCTGCTGCCTGCACTGGCGGCAGCTCTTGCATGGTTTCAGCTGAAGGACAGCTTTTCTGGTCTTGCCGCGGCCTAGAATCCTCAACCCCCAACCCGACCCGAGTCTCACTTGCATTTCCAAGGGCAGTCGCGGAAAAAGCATGATAAGCAGCAAGCAGAAACGAGCACTGCAAGCCACAACAGCAGCACGCAAAGGGCTCCCGACTCCCAGCACTCTGAAAGGACGTGAATTCCTTCGCTGCTCCGGCGTTCGGCCGGCAAGGGGTCGCTGGGCTCGGCAGTGTTGAAGTTTCTTATGTCTGGTAGGTTGCCGCACCTTTAGACATGCTGCGCGTTTGAGGTAGATTCCAGCTTGGACGTTCTGCTGGGTAGAAACGAGGGCAACGAGGTGATCGTGACAACCCTCGAGCGAGGAGATCGGCCAGCCGCTTACGATGTGGACATCTTCGCACACAAACGTGCAGATTCATCGATCGCCCCTTCGCTTCGCCCCATCACAGCAAGGAAGACGTACCCCTCAAAGGGTCATCGGGTCAGGCTGGGCGCGTCCTTCGATCCAGCTGCGCGTAAAAGCTTGAGAGCCGTGGCCAGGATCCTGTATGAAGGAAGGCTGGCCGGGACAGGCCGGCGGAAGCACCCGGAAGCCAGAGCAGGTGTTGTTGTGCGAGATTTAGGCGAAGTTTTCGATCGAAGCGGCGACGAAGGAATCATGTTCAGGCCAGGCCATGGGCCACAGACTGCAGGAGGGCTGCCCATCTCTCATGTCTCATTCTTCAGCCTCCAATGGTCCAAGCTCGTCCCGGTTGAGGCTCGGCAAGATCGGCCCTGGTAGCCAGATGCCAGGCTTGGGGCAAAGGAGATTCCGAGTTGTCGGTTGCGGTCTTCGTTTTGCAGCACCGGGCCAACTTCGACGAGAGAATGCTGCAAAGAGATGCATTCCCAGATTCACCCCATCTTCAGGGCCCTTAGGCGATGAAGCGCAAGCAAATCCGTGACATTGCGGACCCTGCGCAGGCTTGGAGGCGGCCGCGAGAGGCTCAGCTCGTCGCACCGCTTTGTTGTTGATCTCATCGACTCATCAAGCTTATCATATGGCTCTGACCGTGCGTTCTCTTGTACGTCGGGATGCATAAAGCACTTCAAGTCAGACGGGATATGAGCTAGGTCTACTCAGCCCACTCTGCCCAAATGCATCGTGTAGGTTTGGACATTGTGCCGCCCGGAATATATGAAAGGACAGTGCCCAGTACTAAGGACAGGTGCTCTGATATAAGTCCATCCGCTTCTTCGGCATGAGGGGCGCATGAGCATTGGCATTGCGGTTATTCCGCGCGCTTGCAGTCACCGTTCGATAAACTTTTCGAAGCTTGAGACGTTGCAAAGGCCCGGTTGTCAGTCGCTTCCCCGTTTGTTCATGCGGTAATTCATGCGGTAAGAAGTGCCCTCCAAGGTGTACCAGATGTCAAGAGGCGAGACGGCCCACGTCTGGATTCCCGCGTGCCAGGCTCGGCTTTGCCACATCGGTGAGGTGTCCCTTCGAAGAGGAGAAAAAGAGACGAAAGCCTGAGAGGCTTATGGTGCCGAAGGCGGTCGAGGCTCTGAGCTGCCGGTGCCGCCGGGGGCAGACCTCGAATTCCAGGCAAGGGAAGTCGAAAGGGAGCATATCGGAGTAAGGATGAAGGGGCTCATGACGGCTGATGTCTTTGCTTCATGCTTGCGCGAGCGGCCTGTCCAGGTGACGTTGCTGTGGATCAGATGCTAGAGTGATCAGTGACTGCTTAGGGCCATTTTGGGAGTTTCCGCAAATTAGGGGTACCGTATATTGGGGTCCTTTTAATTAAGGATCCTACTATTTAGGGTACAATATTAGGGTCCCCCCCATTATCGGAAACTCCTATCTGGAGCGATTGGCCGCACGACTCGCCTGCAGAAGCACCCAAGGTGCCGCAAGGGGGCGGTTCTGTAGGATCTTTACGACTCTACGACCCGCCTGCACCATGATTTTGCACTTTTAAACATGGATGTTGGCAGGGTCATTGGGTCATGACTCCTAACCACAGGCCTAGGCCAAAAGGAGACTGGCGACTGGCTTCGGCTTGCGAAACTCCAGAACGCTTCACTTGGGACTGCTTTGGTGTTAGAACATCCGAAGCCCTGTTGGTGCGGCTTCGCACTGCAGGAAATCCTGCCTCTTCTAGAGCATCCTCGTGGACCGAAGCCTCCCTGGGTGGGGCTCCGAGTGCTGCTTTGCGCGTCCACACCTGAGATTGAAATACTGGTAGTTTGAATGCACCGTTCTTTCAGAATGCGTATTCTACACGCGCCGTATAGTCAAGTCTCGCCGCCCTGCGCCCGCTGAAGGCGAGAGTCGGCAGTGCTCTCAGGGCTTCGATTTGCAGTGGTAGGAGGGGCATGAAGGTGGCCAAGGTGAGTCGCATCTAAAAAACCTTCGATGCTGCTATGAGAAAGTTGCTATGAGTACAGTGGCCGAGGGGCATCGTTCCGCGCGCTGTTGGCGTTCGTCCCTGCTTTCGTTTCCAAGGGGGCGGCCACAGGGCCACAGGGCGGCAGGATGGCGAAGCGATCTTGCGAGGCGGATGCCTGCGGGATGGCGATAGGGACCAGCGGTGAGAGAAGCGCCTTGGGTTCTCTCGCAGGCGGCTGGCACGAGGTGGTTCTTTTCGGTCCGCGCCCTTTGCAAGTGGAGATTCGTGTGCTGTGCAGTCGATCGGAGCCGAGGCTTGCAGGAACAGAAGCAGCAGGAGCGAAGCGCCCCAAATAGAAGGGCCCCGGAAGCGCTCCCTGGTCACCAGGCCGACGCCCAAGGCCGATGCTCGGCGGCTCTGAAGGCCATCCAGGACTTGCTGCCAGAGGCTGTCTCCTTGGCGGAGGCGACACGTTTGGCGATGCAAGAGCTTTGGTAACAAGACGTGCCTTCAATGGTGGCTAACGGTGTTTGCTCTGCTGAGACTACCTGCACATTGAGCTCATCGTAAGCTAGACGGATCTTTGGGAAAGCTCTGTGGCGTTCTTGCGGAGGCTGGTGCAGGAGAAGTTGTGCTTTCCGCGCTGTCCCCGGGAACAGATGTTCTTCGTCACTGTGGCAGGGCGGGCCTTCCATGCTTTTCCCGCAGCCTCTGAGCAGCTGTAGGCAGCTGTCACAGCTAGAAAGAGCCAGGCGAACCACCGCCTGACGGCTCATCTTGGGCTAAGCATTCCGCAGGAGGTCCCACCAGGTCCTGAATGCTTTGCGATGCGGAGTGCGGAACAGACGGTCACTGACAGAGGTCCAGACAACCAGCCCGCATGCGGCATCGCTGTCGGAGGCGAATGGAGGTGCCTGGGCCCCAAGCGACGAAGCCCGTGATGGTCCAGGGGGAAACAGGATGCATGATGGCATAGTTCCCGCCTGAGAGCCAAGGCTGGGAGCGGGACAGGATCATGGTTTTTGATGATTCCTTTGAGCATGAGGCAGAGATTCACATCGTGGGCCAGGGGAGAGGGAGAGTTTCGCTGGATCGTAGGTGCGTAATCATGCGGGCTCCACGCGAGTGGTGCTGTGCGAGGCTGAGCTGTCATGCTGACTTTCGCCACTTCATTGATGGAGTCCCGTTCACCTAAGGCTGATCCGATTCTGGCATCCTTCCCTGGACACAGCCGACAAGAGGGACATGGCACTGGAAGAGATTCAGGCCAGCCCTGCTGCAGGACTCGAGTAGCCACGGTTTACCACATTTCGTGTTCTGAGCATGCTGTCGATCGCGGGCTTGATGGCTTCCTAGAGATCCAAACGCACACTGACCGAAATTTCCAACTCGAAGCCTTTACTATGAACATCGCGGTTTTCGACTGTTGCCGGAACCGCAAGGATGATGATTGTGCGGCAGAAATGACCAAACTTATGCACCAGAGCCAAGCTTTGCCTCGACTCGCGGAGGCATCGCTGGCCCGAGCCCAGAGGCTCCGCACTTTGCCGCCCTTGGCGCCGGCCTACACGGAACCGGGGCCGCTCTTGGAGGCTCGACCGCCACACGATAACACTACAGATCCATCTATCCATCCATCTTCCCGTGTAATATCATACAATCATAAAATGCACAGATACCTCATGTTTATCGAAAGTATCAAAGCTGGGGATGGGACCTTGGGTAATGCCCTGTGAGGGCGCGCACTTGCGACAAGGGTGCGTGCAGCCCCTTCGAGCAAGTTGAGAGCTCCTGCTTCGGATAGGAACATCTGCTGGGGCGCAGTTCCGGCATTTGTGCCAAGTGCGGCTCTGCAGAGGGTGGCGTGCCGACCTGAGAGCCGCTGCTCATGGTAAACAAACCTTGCCTTCGTCCACAGTAGGCCTGAGTGAGTCCCTGGTCTAGCAATGTATAATCATCTACGTTCATCTACGGTGCCAGAGCGTAGAGTGTCGTCGTCCTCCTCCTCCTCCTCCTCCTCCTCCTTGTCCTCGTTGTCGTAGTAGTACTTCTTCGGAGCAGTAGGAGCGGTGGCGACAAGATGCGACCAGTACTTTGCTGGAGTGTCTCTGCATGGACTGCACAGCGCCTGCCGGAGGGCCGGTGTGCTGTGACGTGTGTATCATTCAGTCCGATCTCGTTTTGCAGCTCTAGTGCCATCGTTTATGTCACTAAGCCGCGACGGCCGCAAAAAAACGTTGGGTGCAGTGGGCTTGCAGTAAGTTTCGAGGTGCAAATTGACGCAGGTTTCTTTGCCCGCTCTACGCCACAACCTCCTGTCTATTCCTAGATTGGCCAGTATTGGAAAACCACGTCCACACAGCCACCATTGGAACACTCCTTCACTGAGGACTTAGTGTTGGACGAGGAGAACAGACGAGTCAGGCCTGTGTGTTGCTGGAGCTACGTCTTTGCAGTCTTATGTCCAAATATGATCCTTCAGATCGCAGCAAGCCATGCCTCTACTGCGTGTTGGCTCGCATGGTCTCGAGGCTGGTTGGCCGCTGTTGCGGACACGTCGTTCTTTGAGCAGGGCTACAAAGCTGCCTGGAGTCTTGCGGCAAGGCGCTGCGCTACAAATGAGGTCTGTGAACCCCAGGTCTGCTCTTGAACGGATTGTTTCGGACTTTGTCTGCGTTGCCGGGGTCGAGTCTGTTTGCCGAGTGCGTGAAGCATTCCATGCATGGGTCGATCACCGTGACACTTGAAAGGGTATCAGGATTTTTGCCCCAAGTCGCAGCGTTCTATGTTCGGGAACTGCAGACAGTTTCTGCACTCGTCAGATGTTCTCACCCCCCCGGCAAGCAGCATCACGAAGGAAAGTCTTGAAGCCTTGGCTGCAGGTGAAGTTGGGCATGCTGGCCACTTCACTGGAGCCCATGTGCATGGTGGTTCAGGGCTCCAGAACAGCAGCCACGGTGATGATGCAGTGCCGACATCATGTGCAGCAGAGGCCCCGATGCAGTTGTTGAGGCGACAGCACAGAGCCAACCGGTGGAAGGACCAGCGCGCTCACCAGAAACGCGGGGCTGGTGGGGAAGAGCCGACCACGTGATGCAGACGTTTTGGCCACTCAGCACACCGGAGCTCAAGAAGAGTGCTCGAGACAGGCTCAGACCTGTTTGAGAGACCAAGCCGTTTGCCAAAGCAGTTTTCAATCGAAAGTCTGTTCGCCTTTGATCGTTTGAGAGGCGGACACTGGATGATCCCCGCACAGATTCCCGGAAGGCACCAGGAGGAGATCCAGATCCGGAAGAACGGAGGACAGCGGATCATGCTTCGGAACAACAACCTGCCTGAGTGCACATCACTGTGGTCCAAGATCCCTAGAAAATCATGCGCCTATCAGCACTCGGCGGTTTTAGTTCTGTCTTCAGATGGCTGTGGAGCTTCTTGAGTAGATGAACTTGGTCAGGGTCGTGATTTGGACAAGAGCCCCCTGACATGAGACCACAGCGGCAATCGGGCTCGAGCCTGAGAAACTCCTCGAAGGGGAGTTTCTCCACAGTGCCATGGAGCCGGAGGTTGTCGGACGGAAGGCTGAGGAACGTAGCGATTCCGAAGCCGGCCCGGCGCGAACAAACCTAGACCTCGTTGTGGACTTCATGAGCTCTATGGAGGTAAAACGACCCGAGGTGCTACGGTGCACTTCTGCCTGGGAAGCAATCTGGGCAGTGGCCCTATCTGACATGACTGCAGTCAATGCAGATCGTCTTTTTGCCCGGAGTGCGCCGACACAGCGCATAACCCAGTTCTGGTCGCACTCCTGGCACGGCAGCAAACGACAGAAGCTTTGCGCATTGCTGGTCGTGAACAACGGGTTGGCAGCCCTTTGCGCTGGGACCTGCGCGGCTGTGCTGTCAGCTTTCTTCCTGTCGGCCGCAATGGGGCCCACGGGCATAGAAGAGGGGGAGACAGAGACTACTCTCCAGGGGCAGTACCATCGAATTTATGCGACTTCACGCCCGCAAGCAATTGCAAGCAATCTGTTCGGCTTGCTTGTTGCCATTTTGTGCTTGCTGCTCTGGAGGCCGGGGACCTCTGTCTTTCTCGACCGCGTGTGTGTTCATCAAACCGACCGTGAACTGAAACTGGCGGGTCTTGTAAGCATGAGCGCCTTTTTGAAGCAGTCTAAAGTAATGACGGTATGGTGGGACGCAACATATTCCAGCCGACTCTTGGGTCGTGGTTGAGCAAGATTTTGGGGATTGTGTGCCTGGTGCACTTGTACTTCCAACCTACCTTCACTTTCCTTCAACGAGTAGGGAGGTTTCATCTGTAAAGGTATGCTGATCAGCGGCCTAGCGTTGCCGTAGGCTTGGCACTCAGGTCTGTGGTGCTTGTTTGAGATTGCGGCGTACCTGAAAAGCCACAGCAGCCAGGAGACGAGACTATCGGTCAGACCCGTTGTCCTAGGCCCATTGGCGATGGGCGTCTTTTTGGGGTTTTCGTTTGCAGTGCTTGGGGTAATGCTTCTCCCGAGAGCTGGCACGCAGAGCGGGACAATACTCACCCGGATCGCGATGACCACTGTGGCGGGTTCCGCTGCCTTGTGGTATCCACTATCTGCTTTGCGGAGCTTCTACCGCTCAATAGACACGATGCAAGCGCAGCTGCGCGACTTTCGCATGGACTGGGCTGTGTAAGAAGCCTTGGGTAAGTGTTTAAGCTTCTTCCGGTCAACTTCGATTCTCGTGCTGTAAGTTGTGTCCTCGATGTCGATTGCATGAACCATAGATGCAATGTTGGGGCCTCCCTCACAGGACAGTGCGACTTGCTACTGCTGCACCAGTGGACATGAGAATCGGATGCTATGCGATCGTCAAATCATTGAGCGATGCATTGTGGAATGGTTTGGTTCTGTGGAAAACTTTGAGCAGACCATACAGACGACTGTGTCCAGCGCCCTCGCTCAGCAGCTAGGGAAGTTTGCTTTCCCGATGTCTTGGATGTGGGGTTGCTCATGTCCGCTGTTGTGGACCTTTCTTGCCCCAGCTCTCCGCCAACCGCTTATTGGAAGCTTCTTCATCCTGGGCTGGATCTTTGCTGTTCCAGTGATTTTCATGATTGGTGCCTCGCTTGCCTACAAGCTGCGTGGACAGCGGCTCAACTGTTGGCTTGATGGGGTTTCCACCCTCGTGTGCGCATTAGCGTGTGTTTTCAGCTACATGGGCATGGAGACGCTTGCAGGCGTCTTGTCCAGCGCACTGCAGACGTATTGGACGAGCGTCGCGGCCTTCGCTGCATCGATGTTTCTGATCATGCTTAGCCTTTGGTGTTGCTGGCAGGGGGGCTCTCTTGACAGGATCAGGATGAATCCGCATAAGGCGCCAGTCAACAACGAGGTGCCTCCAAGGATTCTGAGTCTCTGATTTGGTTGCTGCTACGGCCGAAGGCATGGCAGAGCATATTTCCGACGGTGTACAGACGAAAGGCGGGTCTCCTGCCTACGGAGCTGTGTTCTATATGTCATAGAGCATGTAGCAATGTATGTAGGAGGGCATGCAGACCACGCAGTCGGCAAAATGGACGCCAGAAGCTGTGTGTGTGGTCTGTAGTCGTGTTTGCGCTCGTCCGTTGGAGACATCTACACGCACTGCAGTGATATTCGGGACTTACACGGAGGATGGCGGAGCGATGGAGGCTCGTGTCAAGGCCGCCATGTTAGACCTGTCGGCCTCCGGTTTCGCCGTGTGTGGCACGTGGCAGCTGGGCTGTTCACCTGCACGCAATACTTACGAGTACGTGGCAAAACCATCGTCGGCACAACTATCTGGGGAAGCTCGTGTATGCCTGAGGCGGAAAGGAGCTGTGGGAAGATTGCGATCATTGCTTTCGGTCTAGCTCTTTAGAGACACGGAGCAATCCCAAGAGCGCAAACGCTGCAGGCAGAAATGCCGAGTCCCGCGCTGCCAGCTGCGCGAAGTCTGTACTGCGGCACCATGAACAGCCCCGCAGCCGTGCTGGGGTGTGCAGGACAGCCGTCACACGTGTAGACACTGTAGACAGTCCAATTCCTGTGCAGCACGAGCACGACCATGCATGATGCCGTTGCGTCGCAATGTTCGGCGCAGCGTCCGTGCAACGCTGTCCTTAGGTAAGGGGGGAACGATGCAAAGAGGCGCTGTGCTGTTCACGTAGCTTGGCGTTCTGCCTCGCTCTGTTGTAGTCTGCTCTGAGTATTGGGGTGCCATCTTTGTTCTGCGGAGCCTTGGGCTCAAAGAGCGGTTTCTCGGACCAAAGCATTGCGGCGGATGAGATGGTAAGAGGCACCAGAGATGGCATGGCCTTCCTCCTAGCTTGGACCGTATCTTGGCCCAAGTGGCCCACGTCCCTGCCCCTGATCGTGTCGTCCCGTGTTGTTGCAATCATCATCGAGATTCGAGATTGGCGTCCGAGCAGTTCGACAAGGTTTTCAGCTGTGGAAGCGGTCCCCTTTTGGCCAGCAGTTCTGAAATTCTGGCAGTGACAGGAATGCTGTTTCCTGGGTATACAAGTTGCAAGAACTCATCAATCCACAAGCCCAGCCGCTGTCCCAGGCAATGTTGGCTTGGGTGCATGGCAAAGAGCTGCAGAATGGAGATCTTTGCGCTTGCCACAGCGCGACATGCAGGCTCGAAGTCCTCCTTGCAATGCTGATACCAGCTGCGAGTACCCCTTCTCTGGAGGGTTTGCACTGAAAATTCCCATCATATGCTCTCGCCAAGTTCTTTAGTATGGGCTCATACGATGCTGGCATTGGCATCTCTGAGGTCTTCAGGTGTGTGTGTGTGTACTAAAATAGTATACATATATATATATATATATATATATATATATATTTATATGTATATTCATATATATATATATATATATATATATATTCACACCCATGTGTGTGTATATATATATATATACATATGTGGCAATATGTGATTACATGTATGTATAAGTCCAAATACGCAGACAGTCATGTTGCCCCTGATGCCAGTCGCAACAATGGCACTGTGGACGACACAGCGTTGTTGCAAAGCAAGCTGGGCGCAGGTTCTCTGCAGGCCTCTTGGTGAACTAGAACCCGGGTGTCCCGAAAGTGTTTTACACGCAAAGCCAGTATCGACAATAATCATGCATCATGAACAACATCCGGTTGTATTTAATTACTGGCAATTCGTATGTTGACTGCAACGGGTCGCTGAAGGCCGAGACCCGTCCACGCCGCCGCGGCCGGTCCAGGCCGATCGTTCGCTCCTGGGAGCAGCTTTGAAACAGTGTGTGTCTTCTAGATTTCCGCCGCACCCTTGGGGAACGTGTTCTGAAACGGAGTAACTTGTCAGTTTTCGCAGAGCTCCACAGATTAAACCGATGCGACGGGAATGCTTAAGCACTATACAAGCAGAAGAGAGGCGTTGGCGTCGACGCCGCCGCTATGGCTACTATCAGCCAGCTGCTGTGCTGCAAGGTTTGCATCCGAAATCCGGGTCTTGCAGTTTTGGCAGCTCCTCTACAATTTTTTGCCTAAGCTGCCTCAGCAGGTGTCACCCCCCGGTGTCATGATTACCTGACCCTTGCACAATGAGTTCCCAATCACAGCATTTTCTGTTACCTATCCTGTAGCACAAAGTCATTCATCAACCGGGAGTGGTCAGACTGATAATTTGTGTCTAGCAGAGCTTGATCCCACAATTCCGGAAGCAGTGATCTTGGTTCCGAAAGTCTCGCCGAGGCACCCGTGTCAACAACTTCGACGACGAGCTCCGAGGCAGATGTTTTGTTGGCCTCTCCCGACATGTTCGGATTCAGCAGTGATCTGAAGTCCGATGGCTTCTGCAACGTTTCTTCGAGGCATCCGTGTCAACGACTTCAACCAGCTCGGAGGCAAAGCTTCGTTTTCAGAGGCGAGCCTCTGCCGGTAATCTCGATGATCTCCAGGCGCCCGTTGTGCCAACCACTACGACAGCAACACCTGCGGCTTGTATGCAGTATCGAGCCTGAACATGCCGTGTCGGGGAGCTTAGGCTTTGAGTCAGCTGCCCGGACAGAGTCTTCCGTTTTGTCCTAGCCGACCCGCATACTGTCAAGTTTTATGGCCAAGAATGCGTGCCCTTGTCCGGTCCTCTCTCCTGCAGAGATCCCTCGGTTGAGGCCACTCTTTGCAAGAAACTGTGAGTAATTGCAGGGGTCTGACATGGTCTGACTGTCTGGCAACAATGACCAGCTTGAGGCTCCCCCTATGTGGACGCTTGGTGAACTCCATGACACCTGCAATGACTACTGCCATTTTCGCGGCTATTCTGGTTGTGACCTGGCCGAGATGGAAACCGTAGACACGGAGGAGGAGCTTGCGGCGGAAATGCAGAACTTGGGCAAAACCTGCCTTGTCAATGGGAGCATGTGGAATGAAGTCGCAACGTACGCCCCAGGGCCGTCAGGGTGCTACCTGAACAAGATCGCAATGGACTGCGACTCCAACAGAGAGGAAAAGCATCAACCCCTTTGCTACTGCATTGGCACGACGACGACAACATCACCAGCAACTCGTCCCAAGTACTAGTACTGGTGCTACTTGTGTGGTAAGTACCAGTAGTAGTACTAGTACTAGTGTTAATACGAGTACGAGTACAAGAACATTGTGCCGGGAATTGATGGCCGCTGTTTGTGACAAGATCTGGACAATCTTGCCCATCTTGCCCCGTGGTGCACTTGCACCACTTGGGGGGGTGTGATGGACACTTGCAGGCTATTCGATACTGCATATATACTGCCTTCAACAGCTGCAGAAGCACCACGAGAATGCACGTCAAACAGACGCTGAAATTTCGTAGTCCGAGTCCGCATTGTCCTGTTTGCAACCGTGACCGAGCTTGCGTGCCATCTTGCCATCCAAAAGAATCCAAGATGAACAGGTTTGCTGCACAAACTTGGCCAAATACCGTATCGGGCCTCGTGTCCCGGCACACAGTACTAGTAGTAGTAGTAGTAGTAGTAGTAGCAGTTGTTGTTGTCGTGGCAGTTACTGTCGTCGTACTATTTCTATTCCTGAGTCTACTGCAATTATTACTACTACTACCGCCACAACTACTACCACCACCCCCACTCTTGCTCATGCTCCTGCTGCTGCTTGTGTGACACTGCCACTGTTACTGGAAATAAAGGCCGCCGCGACAACTACTACGAACGTGGCAGTGACGCCAACGACCATGACCGCGAGGGAGGGCTACATAGCACTACATACTGGTACTAAGTACCACTACTACTACTACTACTACTACTACTACTACTACTACAAATACTACTACAAATACTACTACTACAAATACTACTACTACTAATACTACTACTACAAATACTACTACTACTACCACCACCACCACTACCACTACCACTACCAATGCTACTACTATTGCTACTATTGCTACTACCGCTACCGATACTCCTACTTCTACCACTGCTACTACCACTACTATTACTACTACTACTACTACTACTACTACTACTACTCCTGCTACTACTACTACTACTGCTACTACCACTACTACTACTACTACTACTACTACTACTACTACTACTACTTCTACCTGTACCTCTACTTCTACTTCTGCTACTACTACTACTACTACTACTACAACTACTACTACCACTACCCACTACCACTACCCCTACCCCTACTTCTACTACTACTTCTACTGCTACCACTACCCCTACTACTACTACTACGACGACGACTACTACTACTGCTACTACTACTACTGCTACTACTACTTCTACTACAAATACTACTACTACAAATACTACTACTACAAATACTACCACTACTACTACTACTACTACTACCATTGCTACTACTATTGCTACTATTGCTACTACCGCTACCGCTACTCCTACTGCTACCACTGCTACTACCACTACTATTACTACTACTACTACTACTACTACTACTACTGCTTCTACTGCTACTACTGCTACTACTACTATACTACTACTACGACCTGTACCTCTACTTCTACTTCTGCTACTACTACTACAAGTACTACCACCACCACTACCACTACCACTACCACGACCACTACCACTACCCCTACCCCTACCCCTACCCCTACCCCTACCCCTACCCCTACCCCTACCCCTACCCCCACCCCCACCCCCACCCCCACCCCACCCCTACCCCTACCCCTACCCCTACCCCCACTTCTACTACTACTTCTACTGCCACCACTACCCCTACTACTACTGCTGCTACTACTACTACTACTACTACTACGACTACGACTACGACTACTACTACTACTACTACTACTACTACTACTCCTGCTGCTACTACTACTACTACTACTACTACTACTGCTACCAAGTACTACGACGACGACTACCAGTACCACGACGACGACTTCTACAACTGCTACTGCTACTGCTACTGCTACTGCTACTGCTACTGCTACTGCTGCAGCTGCAGCTGCTGCTTCTACTGCTGCTGCTAGCGCTGCCGCTGCTTCTGATCCTGCTCCAGCGAAATGAGGTCACTGGTCAGCATAATGTCCCGTGTGTTCGCGTTAATTACCAAGCTGTCCAGTCCAAATGCTTGGTATTATAATTGTTGCTGCAAAGCTACGATTGTTGCGCTTGGTTCGCCATCTTATATTTGGAATGTGTAAGTCCCCGCGCGTTATGTGCTCCACTTGCCGACAGGTCGGATGGGTCTTGGGCGAACTCCACGACACCTGCAATGACTATTGCCAGTACACGGGGCATGCTGGTTGTGACTTCGACAGGATTGCGGAGATCAATCGGATCCCACGCGCTCGACGGCTGTTGGAGAGCCTGAACTACACGTGTGACGTGAGCGATGGTGATTGGAACGAAGCACCCACTTACAGACCAGATCTGGATGGATGCTACTACAATCGACTCGCCTTAACTTGTGATGAGAACAGGAGGGAGCAAAATCAGCCCGTGTGCGCGTGCAATGGCACAGCTCCGCCCCCGACTCCACCAGCAACTCGTTTCGAAAGGGGACCCTCTTTATGTTTCTAGCAGCAGGTGTTCATCCAGAATCTAGAATCGCAACTAGCGCCACCCATCGTACACTGAAACCACTAGGGCCAACTGTCGCGCAGGTCGGGTGGGTCTTGGGCGAACTCCACGACACCTGCAATGACTACTGCCAGTACACTGGATATGCTGGCTGTGACTTCGACCGGATTGTAGAGATCAATCGGATCCCACGCGCTCGACGCCTGCTGGAGAGCCTGAACTACACGTGTGACGTGAGCGACGGAGACTGGAACAACGTGTCTACTTACAGACCAGATGTGGGTGGATGCTATTACAATCGAATTCCTCTCAGTTGTGATGCGAACAGGAGAGAGGAAAATCAGCCCGTGTGCGCATGCAATGGCACAGCTCCACCCCCGACTCCACCAGCCACTTGTTTCGAAAGGGAGTGCCCGAGTTCATCGCTTGTGGTTGTTGGTTGATGTGCAGTGTGTCGTTTTGTCAACTCAAGCAGCAATTGTCACCAGCATCCAGGATTATGCAATGCTGATTTCGGTACTGACCCACCTATCGCAAGCTAGGGCCATCTGTCGCACAGGTCGGATGGGTCTTGGGCGAACTACACGACACCTGCAATGACTACTGCCAGTACACTGGGTATGCTGGCTGTGACTTCGACAGGATTGTAGAGATCAATCGGATCCCACGTGCTCGACGCCTGCTGGAGAGCCTGAACTACACGTGTAACGTGAGCGACGGAGACTGGAACAACGTGTCTACTTACAGACCAGATGTGGGTGGATGCTATTACAATCGAATTCCTCTCAGTTGTGATGCGAACAGGAGAGAGGAAAATCAGCCCGTGTGCGCATGCAATGGCACAGCTCCACCCCCGACTCCACCAGCCACTTGTTTCGAAAGGGAGTGCCCGAGTTCATCGCTTGTGGTTGTTGGTTGATGTGCAGTGTGTCGTTTTGTCAACTCAAGCAGCAATCGTCACCAGCATCCAGGATTATGCAATGCTGATTTCGGTACTGACCCACCTATCGCAAGCTAGGGCCATCTGTCGCACAGGTCGGATGGGTCTTGGGCGAACTACACGACACCTGCAATGACTACTGCCAGTACACTGGGTATGCTGGCTGTGACTTCGACAGGATTGTAGAGATCAATCGGATCCCACGTGCTCGACGCCTGCTGGAGAGCCTGAACTACACGTGTAACGTGAGCGACGGAGACTGGAACAACGTGTCTACTTACAGACCAGATGTGGGTGGATGCTATTACAATCGAATTCCTCTCAGTTGTGATGCGAACAGGAGAGAGGAGAATCAGCCCGTGTGCGCATGCAACGGCACAGCTCCACCCCCGACTCCACCAGCCACTTGTTTCGAAAGGGAGTGCCCGAGTTCATCGCTTGTGGTTGTTGGTTGATGTGCAGTGTGTCGTTTTGTCAACTCAAGCAGCAATTGTCACCAGCATCCAGGATTATGCAATGCTGATTTCGGTACTGACCCACCTATCGCAAGCTAGGGCCATCTGTCGCACAGGTCGGATGGGTCTTGGGCGAACTACACGACACCTGCAATGACTACTGCCAGTACACTGGGTATGCTGGCTGTGACTTCGACAGGATTGTAGAGATCAATCGGATCCCACGTGCTCGACGCCTGCTGGAGAGCCTGAACTACACGTGTAACGTGAGCGACGGAGACTGGAACAACGTGTCTACTTACAGACCAGATGTGGGTGGATGCTATTACAATCGAATTCCTCTCAGTTGTGATGCGAACAGGAGAGAGGAGAATCAGCCCGTGTGCGCATGCAACGGCACAGCTCCACCCCCGGCTCCACTGGCCTCTTGTGCTGCAAGTAATACATTGCCTTTCGATGATAAACATGCCTCTGCTTGTTTGAAGTTTTCGTGTGCTTCGTGTTTGGTCTAGTATGTGCCCAAGCTAGTCTTGTGCTACTGAGGATCCGAACTGGGTTTTGGGACCGCTTGGAGGCAACTGCGACGACACCTGCACCGGTTTAGGCAAAGCCTGCGATGCCACCAAAATCGGGGAGATCAATCGGATCCCTCGGGCCAGGCGGCTGCTGCAGAACATGAACTACACATGCGATGTGAGCGGCGGGCAGTGGAACAAGCTGCCGACTTATGAACCAGGTGCCGCGGCCATGCCTTGTTGGGATCTTTCCTTCAAAATGCCCTATAGTTCACCTGAAAGCCTAACAACCTATCACGTATCATCGGCACCAAGCTTGATTGTTTTTGGCAGCCCGCCATCAAGTATCCATACTGCAGGTGCGAACGGTTGCTACTACAACCGGAACCCTGTTGACTGCTCTGTTGACGTTTCGGGCCACCTTCAGCCCCTCTGCTACTGTACCGTATAGAGCTTCGCCTTCAGCCCGCCGGCCGCGCTGTTGCCGGTTTCCACAGCCGCTCGAATCGGAGGTGGTCAAAGGATCCCTTCTATTCCTCCGTTAGGGCTGAGCCCCTGAAGGCCAATCTGGGATCTGCGGCTCGACATTTCGATCATTTGACCAAATGTACTCTAGCAGCAAAGCCTGCAACTTGGCAACAATAAATCGTGCCGGCTCAAAGAAGCAGATTAAAATATGATCAGAGATCTTGAATCACATTTTTCATAATATTGAAACAATCTACTGTCATTTAATCAAGAAGAGATTAGATTTAATCATCAGGTAGAGAAATTGAAATTCGGAAGTGGGATTCATTTCTTGGACGGAGCAGTCTTATCAAAATTGTTTAGATAGTACGAGTTCTTTCCAATGATCTGTTCAAGATTATACCTGTTCAAGATTATACCTATTAAGTAAGACAAAACGTTAGAGCTCATTTTGCCTTTTTGAGTCTACTTCCCTCTGGCAGCTTGCCCCAGGAAATTTTGAGGCCGGAGGCGTTTCGTCGCGATTTCTCTGTGTGCGTCCGTGGGGGATTCTGTGTATGTGTCTCTGTGGGTGTCTCTGAGTGCGTCCCTGAGTGGGTCCCTGCGTGGGTCTTTGCGTGGGTCTCTGTGTGGGTCTCTGTCTGCCTGTGTCTCTGTGTGTGTGTCTGCCTGTGTCTCTGCGTGTGTCTCCGAATGTGTCTCTGGGTGAATCGGTGAGTTTGTGTT